GAAAGAGCTACTAGTTATGTCCACCACAGCCGCCTCAGCTTATCCAATCCGCCGCAGGCCTCGCCTATGCAAGACCTGTCTCCCTTGCCGAGCCAGTAAAGTGCGCTGCGATCGCAACCTGCCGTGCGGGAACTGCGCAAAGCGCAACTTCACCTGCTCCTATAGCCAGGCGCCGCTATCCACTGGCGCGACGATACCTCATCTACAACCACAATCACAATCGCAACAACCACTGTCTACATTACCGCTGTCGCTGCAGCAGCATATTATACAGAGAGAAATATGTCCGAGGAACAACCCGTATCCTGGCGTGACTGTTACGCCGTCGGATTCGTCGATCCCGTCGGCCCGGTTTACACCTGATCAGAGTCGGTTTCATCACGCTGCTGAGAACTATGGGGCTGGGATAGATTGCGATGGGGCTGTGGAGGACTATGAGGGCGATGACGATGACGAGGATGAGGACGATTCGTCGGATACGGTGAATATCTCGCAGGCGGAATGGGAGGATATACATACCAAGATGGGCGCGATGGAGCAGATCCTCAACAGTTTGCATTCGATATTCCAGTCACATTCGGGGCGGCGTTACAAAGGTCCTGATCCTCCACCACCGTCGTCGACATCCTCATCGCCAACATCATCGATTGAAGAATCGCCACCGGCAGAGACAGAGATGGATAGAGAAAGACGTCGATCCCCGCAAGTTGGAAGTATCTTTCGACCAAGTCCGTTGCTGAAAAAGGGTACTATACATATAGGTTCGCGGTCTGCGTTGGTGGATATCTTCAATAAATCGAAGACTTCCGATGACACGGCCCAGGCTTTGCCCAAGGATGATCTGCTTGCGGAGCTGGCGCTGGGAAATCAGTCCGTCGCTTATCCCTTTGTCGATCTTTGGTCGTCGGACCCGTTTACGTTTAATATTGTTGCAGTATGTGATGTGTTACCGGTGGATGTGCAATGTTATAGGTACAACATTATTCCTATCCCTTTCTTTCTGAACTGCTTGTTAATGCGCGCGCCGACAGATTTTTTGATTACTACAAAAATATCGGCGCTGTTTTATACCCCGTTCTTTCAGATATCGCCCAAGTCGAGCAAAGTGTACAGCAATTACTACAGAATCGTGCAGCCGCTGGCGGAGGATACCATCCAGATGATAATGGCCTGGTGAAGCCGTTCGGTATGAGCTTGGGCTTTTTGAGTCTTCTTTTTGCCATTCTTGCCTCTGGGTGCCAACTGTCTGATCTGCCTGCCAGTGAGCGGGAGTTGACTTCGTGGGTTTACGGTTCGTTCCTTGTTTGTACTTTGTGGTGTTGATAAAAGCTGATTGTTGTTAGTATCCTGTTCATACCAATGTCTGCGGATGATGAATTATGTCGCGCAACCCACTGTAGAGGTAATACAGATCTTGTTGATTATTAGCAATGTTTTGTCGTATAATATGAATGCCGGTGCTTCGTATACCTTGCTTGGTAAGTTCTCGTGCCCTATTGGTGTCAAAAAAAAGTTGATTAATCGTAAAAAGGAATGACGGAGCGAATGTGCATGGTCCTCGGTCTTCATGTCGAAACGCCAGGATTCTCGCGATCCGAGCAGGCTGTTCGCAGAAGAATATGGTAAGACCTATGCCTCGTCTGGCTGGTGACTTCACGCTTACGATGTTTAGGTGGACAATGGCTTTCCAAAACAGCCATTTCTCGCTAGCATATGATCGACCATCCATCACCATGGTTAGTCAACCAGAGATACAATATGACCGTAAGTCGATGCCCGGACATCGGTCATATTTTGAATCACTCTGCCGGGTAGTATCGCTAGCACTCGAGATGCTTCGAGGACGGTTAGACTCGGAACATTCTCATGTCCGATATCACGATATCCGCGAGTATAAGCAACGCATGCATCGCATTCTGGCAGAAGCTGCCCCGCACTTGCGATTCGCAGACCGTTGCGTCACAATAGCTGATAACATCGAGCGGACGGAGTTGCGACTGCATTCTTGTTACCTGATCTCCGTGCTGTGTCGTATTTCACTAGACCCGGACTCACATCTAGATGGCCATCGCCGCGCACTAGTCCGTGAGGATTGTATAGCAAACCTGGTCGGAACCATCGAAGCATTCGTCGAGCTACACTCGATCAACCATCACTGTTCACGATCCTGGATCAGCGTACAGCGCGCAATCGCATGCGCATTCCTCCTAGTTGCCCACGATGGCCAATCCCACCCGCGAACACGTTTCCTAATCCAAAAACTCCAAGACGTCCTCGCAGACCACGTATACGCCGACGGCGCAGTGGCACACAACAGCCGCACCGATTCAGCCAAACATTTGGCAACTTCCCTCCGTGCTCTGCGCGAAATCAGCGCGGCATTCCAGGCGCGACAGATGCGCACGCCTCCTGAAAGCGACGTTGTGTCCAAGCCGGACACTCCCAATATAACCGTGACGATGCCGTCTGCTTCGGGGTCAGTGATGGCTAACCCGGGTATGGCAGCGCCTGCGATGCCGAGATATGGCCAGAGCCAAACCTATGTTCCCATGGAGTACGAATATCCGGATATGCGCAATATCCTAGACCAGGTTTCGGATGTCATGTTGTTTCCGAGTATGTCGGAGTGATACATTTCTTATTAGCATATACCCATTTGCACGAATGATATCCGGACCGAGATGAGAAGCAACGATTGAACGACATTTCTCGAGCGGCACTTAATAACGTCTTACTCCCTCGTCCCTCGTGTATGAAAGTAGTAGAAATCATGAGCAAGAAGGAGGTGAGGAGAATAAATACTTGAATATGTATTAGGCTTCTCAGCTTCGGCCGAGATAAGACCGGTCCGAGTGGGGTTCTGTTTCGGAACCGGCCGGGCAGCGGAGTTAGGCATTGAAGTCCTGAATGTTATCAGATTTGTCGCTGACTGAGGCATTTATTTGACATCCAGCTATCATATCTGTGTATGTAGTTGGGGCTGCGCTGGTAGCTACGCTGCTATTCCATGTTAGACCATGTGGCCAGTCTCTCATGTACCGTGCGCATTCAAAGTCATCCTAGATGGCCTGGAATCTGGATTCGGGCCATTCTGGCCAGCATGATTGCTGCTCAAGATGAGCATGGAAAAATAGACAACGGTTGGAAGTGCCAGAGAAAACAGTCACGTGATAATAAAGCAATGGTGGTCTGTTTGTATTGAAGGGCACTCTTTTATTCCCTTCCATCTTCCTAGTATTACCGTCGCCTAGTTGGAGACCCATCGCCATCATCTACAGTCACCCGCTACGGTTTAGTACTGTCCAGCTTACCTAAATCTGTATCTCAGTTGATACTGCTGTCAATGGACCAAGAACAAGATGGGGATTCTTCACAATCTACCTCCTAAGATCTTTAACGCTGTCATGGAGGCCTTAATCGTCATGTTTGGCATCGTCAAGGCACTCCGGCTCAGAGTGATGAACCGCATGTTCAGCTTGCCCATAATATAGAGGCACTAAGGAGGGCTAATCGCTTGCTCCAGGAAGGTCCGACTCTGCCAACCGGGCAAAACCCTACTTTGGCATACCTTTGTCTATTGCTGCAGCCCGGGAATATCTTTATATTGCTCGATATTTCAGTATGCGGCGCTATCCCTGAGCGCGTTGTCAATCTTCCAATTAGGCGTTTGGCACTAGATCCAGCCTTGAAAGACTTGGATCTTCCCGTGAGTAAGTACATATACCTAGATGCAGTTGGTGGTGCACTGCGAGCTGCAGCAATAGTAGGCCATGATAATATTGTTCGCTTGCTCGTGCCGTACACTCAGTCCACCGCAACTTGAGAGGGATATTATCTAGCATTTTAGGCCTCATTCCGCGGTAGTCATATCATTATTATCAATATCCTCGATGCTGTTGGAAAAATTATCCATAAACCAGGCTGGCAGCATTATCAAATGTTATGGCAGACCGTCCGCCATAACCAAGAATCCGTGATGCAGGTGTTATTAGACAATGGCATTGACGTGAACATGATTCCATATTCAGGGCTACATGCCCTTGATATTGCAGCGGCACAAGGCCATGAACAAATGGTTCGCTCTCACGTGCATCTGAGCGAGGGCCCTGATTTGTCGCCCATCGAGCATGCCACTGCAAATGGGCACCAAAGAATAGTTGGGTTACTACTCCAACTTGGTGCGAACGTTGACAATGCAGTTATTTCGTCTACCAGAAGTGGCCAGGCTTTGACACTACCGACGGAAGTCCCAGGAAACAGCAACCCGTTGTACATTTTCTGGGCTTGAAGTATGTCCAGGTGGACAATCTCACGGGTGACATATTAACGGGTCTTCGTCCATTTTAGATGGACGGTCGAGTTTTGCCGAGGCTGGGCTTGATGTTGTTGATGTTATTGTGAAGAGACCTGATGGTGGGGGTTCGTGCTATGCTTTCCGTGGGAACAAGTATGCTAGGATCAAGGTTGATAGTCCCCGTAAGGATACACTCAGGTTGTCGGCTAGACTACTTCTGGGGAATTTTTGGCTCTGTATCTACCCTGTTTTCTACAGTTTTTTGCACAGCCCAAGTGTTAGACAACCCATGATCAAGCTACTGAGATCCAACAAAGGTATGCTCAAACGAAAACATCTCAATTTATCATACCTAGTATCCATTCAACGCGATCTCTCTGCATCCGGTTCGAGCACGCTGCGGAGACATTGACCGTAGAGGTTGACCGAAATGATACCTCAAGAGTCTAAACCGCCAAGAGAACGTGGCAATGGGTAAGAATTTACCAAAAGACCCATAAAACCTCATCACATAATAATAATCTAGACCTAGCCCAATGTCCCCATCAGGAAACTCCGGCGACGACTGAACAATAGCCGAACGAACAGGAACATCAGGGCCGTTAAGGCCCGATCCGCAGGACGACAATGAGTGGTAAGAGGGGCGTTCGTCTGAACATTGCGATTATTTTCTTCTAGAATAGTGGTGTACCGGGGTTCAGGTTGGAGATGGGCCAGTTTTTCCGAAGTATAGCGGCGCTCTGAATGGATGGCGGAAAACGGAGATGATTCCCGTCCATGGATGTCTTCTCCGTTACTCCTTTGGGTAGTTGGTATATGTGCAACAGTCGCAGGATCTGATTTGCGTGTTTAGGACTGAAGAGCCGAGTCAGAGCTTGGTCCTAAGGGGAGAATGGTGTTTCAGAAAGTTAAAATGGGGAATTTGGGGATCGAGTTGGAGAGGGAGGTTTGGGTATAAGTTGTGCCTTTTTTCTGTTCATTTTCCCCCTCTCTTTTTGTGTAGAAAGCTAAGTTTTTGTTTATAAATTTCAATCTCATTATGAGCATTTCTAAATTTGCTACGCTCGGAGCCCTGGTCAGCTTCGCGGCCGCCTGGCTACCAGAGACCAACAAGCAAATCACAGCCAACAATGGCACAAACCTCTTTTCCAAGTCCAACGGAAAAATCCGCGGCGTGAACACGGGCTCTCAGTTTATCTTCGAGCCCTGGATCGGCGAATCCGCCTGGTCCGACATGGGCTGCGGCGGCCAAAAGTCCGAGTTCGACTGCGTGTCGAGTCTCGGCCAGGACAAGGCCAATAGCGCATTTGCTAAGCATTGGGACACCTGGATTACAGAGGAAGATATTAACGAGATCCAAAGCTATGGTCTTAACACCATCCGTATTCCGGTTGGGTACTGGATGAAAGAGGATCTTGTGTACCGCGACAGCGAGTATTTCCCACAGGGCGGATTCGATTATCTCGAGAGACTTTGTGGATGGGCTAGTGATGCCGGTCTGTATATAATCATGGATCTGCATGGTCTTCCAGGGGCGCAGACGCCTGAGAACCCGTTTACGGGCCAGTATGCTTCGGAGGCCGGATTCTACGAGGACTATCAGTATGAGCGCGCACTGAAGTTTCTCGAGTGGATGACGACCAATATCCACCAGAACGACAACTTCCGTAACGTGGGTATGCTGGAGATTGTCAATGAGCCGGAGCAGGAAGAAGATAAGGCTGCTTCTGTGCGTGCGGGTTACTACCCGGATGCATACCGAGTTAGTCTCATCCCTTTACTTTGTGGCTAGCAGCAGCAGCTAACCCTACCCAGCGTATCCGTTCTGCGGAACGAGAACTATCAGTCAACAGAAACGACTACCTGCACATCCAAATGATGGACGAAACCTGGGGCTCCGGCAATCCCAACCAGTACCTGGATGACCTCTATTACGCTGCTTACGACGACCACCGGTACTTGAAATGGGCTAATGTCGACGCTTCTCATGATAGCTACATCAGCACTTCCTGCAGTGATGACCCGGGCAGTAACACTCCGCTTATCGTGGGTGAATGGAGTTTAGCCGTCGCGGATGATATCGAGTCGGACTCGGACTGGGATCCGGACTCGAACACTGAGTTCTATAAGAAGTGGTTTGCGGCACAGATTACTGCGTATGAAAAACAGCAAGGATGGGTGTTTTGGACTTGGAAGGCTCAGCTAGGTGATTATCGGTGGTCGTATCAAGGTATGTCCCTTCTATATTTCTAGGGTTTGTTGTGCATTACTGACTCTTGTAGATGCGGTTTCGGCTGGTGTGATTCCTACTGATCTCAACTCAGCTCTGGATATGGGAGTGTGTCGGTAAAATTGTATATATTTTGTAGAGGTAAATAGTTACGAAATAGCCAACGCCGTCAAATCTTCAGTCTCCATCATAAATTATGATCCAATTTCCCATACATCTCAGACCTCTTATAAACAAGCTCACCCTTGTCCAAATACCTCTCCATGACATAAACCACAGCCCCCTCTTCATACTGGTTAGCTTTACTAGGCCGCCATTCTTCCTCATCCTTAAATTGTCGGCGAAAGTCGCAGACAGCAGAATAAATCATGACAGCTTTGAAGTTGTCCCTGCGGATGATAGAATTCCACGTCCACGCGTCTTTGTTCATGATACCTTTTTTGGAGGCCAAGAGGATGATATTGGTTGCATCGTCGCAGATGGATTTCCAGGTTTCTCTTGGACAGTAGTGTGTGATGTCCTTAGGGGGAAACCGTCAATGTATAAAGACACAATGTACGGATCATGGCAGAATGATATTGTCCGGCCTGGGATTTCGGTCTGGGAAGCTCCCAACAATTGGAAATTTATAACTGTCAGTGTCAATTCTACAACTAGGTAAACGCATATCACCGGTTTCCACCCACGACGGAACGCTCGTCAAATCCGATTAGCACAAATCTTACGGATAACTTGCCAACCCATATCAACCCATCAATCTGACCAAAAGAACGCAAAATCATCTACACCCAACCACTAGCAAACGCGACCTGACTATTACAGATAAAAGCTTGCCTTTTAATGAGCGGTGGTCCTACAGAGAAATGCAGAGCTGGTAGCCTGGATTAGAGAGAGACTTGACCAGGTCATGAAGGTACATCTTGAATAAGAATACCCGAATTTTTATCATCTACCTGAGATTTTCTGAGCATACTATTACAGACGCACTATGACAACCTAGAGACGGTCCTACGTTTCAAGACGAAAAGAAGCGGTGTATCCTGAATTGAAGAGTTGGAGAATCAATCGTTGTTTTTTGGGACACGTCCGATTACAGACAAACCACCACTCATGAGAAAGATAGCCAAAATGCAAGCAAGGAAAGGATACAGAAATGAGTGAGAGACTAGGAGAAATGGTGCCATCCACCAAGAGTCTGCACTAGATATAATTGTCGAGTTATCGAGGTGCTTCTCCTTCCTTGAAGGTCTTGCTGATATTGAAAAAGATAATCGCTCTGAGGCAGTCTCGAGTGTAGGCCGTTTCCATCCCGATATGGTTTTACTGTTTCCTGTGTGGTGGTTCCTTGTGAATTTGTCCCAACGCTTCACTGGGATGATCGTTAATGCTTTTATTCTATGAGGGACTTGTGACAGTAACCAAACCCATAAAACAACTGAAAATGATACATTATTTCGGCATATATGTAGTAAGAGGGATATATACCTCACCCTCGATTGACCAGTTCTAGCATCTACCAATCTACATCTAAACCGTCCTCAAACACTCCTCCAAATACCTCTCCACCCTCTTAACATCCCCTAACTCAGCCACGACCCCAATATATCCATCCGGCCTAACAACCGCCACAGCGCCCTTCTCCGGATCAACACCATAAACCCTATAAACATCCTCCTTCTCATATCCGTTGTAGAACTGCATCTCCGAGTATTGTTTCAACTCATGGGGTACATCTCGCCAGGTAAAGTCGCGTGATAGGCGCGGGTGGAGGACGATTTGTTCGATAATAGAGGGGGGGAAGCGTGGGAGGATGGATGAGCCGAGGGCTGTTAGGGTTTGGTGGGAGATGCTCTGGGGGCCGAGGAGGTCGGTGGATGTTAGACAGAGGATGCGGAAGCGGCCGGTTGAGAGGAAGTCTGCAAAATATTTAGTGGTCTAAGATAAACTATTGTTAGGAGTGTAGGTAACGTACCATCCTGCAAGTCACGCCGGTTTCCATCCGCATGCCTCTTAACTTGCACGTTCAACAATCTCCGTCCTGGGTACAACATCCCCGACAAACGGTCCGTTCCGTGAATGGGATCGTTGACCTCCTTTTCCAGCGTCCGGTTCACAAGCGGACTCTCGGGATATTCAATTCCGCAGCCACTTGTAAACCCATTTCCAGTGCTAAAGACAGTTTGGAACTCTTCGTGCGTGAGTCCCTGGTTTCCATCCTCGGAACCCATCTGACCAGAGAACATGGAGGAGAAAGTCCGGTCGAAATCAATCAGTTGCTGTGCGATGGTGTGTCGTTCGCTGTGGTATGTGTCAAGGAGGGCTCCGGGGTTGGGGGTAAGACCGTAGATGGAGTAGATTAGTTTCCATGCTAAGTTGTATGAGTCCATCATGGATACATTCATGCCTTGACCGGCTTTGGGGCTGTGTGTATGGCAAGCTGTAGATGATTAACATCCAGTAGTCAAAATCAATAATGATGACAACTTACCGTCTCCAGCGATAAACACCCGATTGACACCCTTGGAATCCTTCACTGCAAACCGCTCCGCCACGCGCTGACCTATCTGGTAGGCTGCCCACCAGTCCACATCACCGTCCTTCTTGGGCTGAATATAGTACGGTTTGAAGGCATCTACTGCATGCTGGAAGAGCCTGTCCATCGTAACTTTGCCCCGACGCTCCTTGGCCTGTTCCTTATTTGAACCGTTAAGAGTCTCCTCCGTCTCCAGTTCTGGCACTTGCACGTAGAGACGAGTTAGATAGTCCCCTGTAGCAATGCGCTCGCGCGGAATGACCATGACAGATCCTGCAGGGGAGTGAATGGCGCAGCGTCGTCTGATATCAGGGAAATCAGTGTCGACCACCAAATCCATAACTCCCCAAATGTGATCAGTCGATTCTCCGACCATTTTGAGACCCATTTGTCGTCGTACAACTGAGTGCGCGCCATCAGCACCAACCAGATGCTTGGTACGAACGGTCCTGCGCTGACCATTCGCTTCAAATTCGGCGACGACAGGGAATTCCGGATCGGACTCATCAATCTTAACGTCAAGAAGCTTAGTGTCGCGCTGCACACCGCGCTTCGAATACCGTAGCAAATCCGTCTCAAGAATTCGCTCAATTCGACCCTGGTGAATAGTGACTTCAAAATTGTACCTCGCGGGCACCGCGATATCGCGAACAATGGACGTCCTCTCAATCACTTCATCCTTGTTGCTAGACGGATTCCAAAATGCGACTTCTTCCATATGACATCCATCGTGGACAAGCTCATCAACCAGCCCAAGGGACTTGAACACCTCTAAAGTTCGGGGTTGGATACCGTCCGCCTGTCCAGACGTAAGCAATGAGGGCTTCGCATCAACAAAAAGCAATGAATCATCGCTCAATCCGTATCGCGACAGGAGCAAGCCCAGCATCATACCGGCAGGGCCCGCACCGACAATGACGACCTCATATTTCTCTATCTGCTCGTCACGCATGAGTGCTGGTGTGACGCGGGGCAGTGGAGGGGCAAAAGAAGGTAGAACCCGTAGCTCGCGCGACTTGGTCGCATACTCTGTGAAGACGGGCATGACAATGCTAATGGAAGATATGTCCGCAGAAATTAGGGGAATTCAAGACGTTGCCCCTCGAGCACACTGCCATTGTCCACTTTATACCCCATGCCCCATGGTTAATATCCTCCGCAGCAGTCACCGTCGGTAAACGGGCGGAGGTATGCTTGTCCAATGGTAGTCTGCGTAACTACGGGGATTGGCCCACTCGGAATTGTTTATGATATCCTGATTGGCCATATCCACCAGTCGGTTGAAGATCCTGAAGATTTGTGAGATTCGAGTAAGCATCCACAAGCAATGGGGAGGTTGGAAACGGTTTTACGGAATTATGGCTCCATAGCGAGCGGAGATACTGATTCTCCGTCTATGCTAGCTTATGCAGCCATCTGGGGGAATTCCGACTTAGCCCTCAAATGTAATACCGAGCGGTAAACAAGGGTATGATGTTCGTCATAATGGGGGTTTTCCTGTCATTAAGTTCCACGTGGATGTCACTCTAGCAAATTGCATCGTCTCAGATGCATCAGTTTTTCCTTCGCCACGGAGGAAGAGCAAACTCCCGCGGCTTAGCGAGGTGCTCGGCAAGCCTCCGTACATACAGAGCACTTCCCTTAGCATACCCCTGTAATACAGCATCACAAGTCCGGTATATACTACCTCCAGCAGCCAGCCTTGGCTTATATATGGGGTATTCCCGAAACGCTTCAACCACATCCCAAGTCCTCACATCCGAATATGCTCAATATGCTCGCAACTCGTCCTGTCTCCATGTCCGTCCCCGCAAACCGTTCCTCGAAGGGGGTTTTCCGTCCAGGAGTATCCGCCCCAACCGTGGTTGGGGCAAACTAACTTGCAAAATTTGCCATACTATTGGCTGGTAAGTAGCGATACAGCAAAGATGTGCGAAAGTCGGTAACCCACAATGAATACAGACTCTCCTCCCCGAGCCAATGGAGGGACCTGTAACACCAGGAAGGTGAGGCGCATTGAGATTCGGTCTGGAATTGGCGGCCGGTAATGTAGAGGCGTTGTAGGTAGTTTGCGGGACGAAAGTTTAGTTGGGGACAACGTCGAATAGTTATTTAACCCTGGTGGTGTCCTCGGGGAGGTGTTGTGTCGTGTTATATCACAGGTTCCTCCTATTTATATTTGCTTCTTTTGCACACAAAACATCCGTTCCTTAGGATCTCCGTACAGTTGCTCAACTTCCTTTCTATCCTTTCTTCAAAGATGAAACGTCTTTCTCGCTTTTTAAGTGGCAACAGCGACAACGCAGAAGAACCCCTGCCAACAGAGAACAAATGGATCGTGGAAGAACGCTCCATTGACGAAGCTCGTCCTCTTCGGGTTGTCATAATCGGCTCCGGTATCTCTGGGATTATCGCTTCCATCAGATTCAGACAGCGAATTCCCAATGTAGACCTGTGTGTCTATGAGAAAAATGCGGACATTGGCGGTACTTGGCTCGAGAATCGGTACCCCGGCTGTGCATGTGGTATGTGATACCCCACGTTATCTTTTCTTCCTTCCTTTGATGCTTGCTCTTTTAGCGGGAACACTCGTATCATGCAACTGTTAAATCATTGTATCATGATTAGATATACCCGCGCACACATACCAGGCCACATTCGAACCGAACAAAGAATGGTCGACGTTCTATGCCGCAGCCCCCGAGATCTATCAATATTGGAAGCGTGTAGCCAACAAGTATGGCTGTGGGGAGTATATCAAGTTCAAGCAGCAGGTCATACAGGCCGTGTGGGATGAGACAAAGAGCAAGTGGCAGCTTCAGGTTAGCATCTTCATCGGGCAACGGGAGACCAGAGCTGAAATTGATAACTTGAAGGTTCAAGATGGCGATTCTGACTCGGTGTACTCGGACGAAGCCGACGTATTGATTTCAGCAACTGGTGCGCTGAATAATTGGAAGTGGCCTGATATCCCTGGTCTTCATGACTTTAAGGGCAAGTTGATGCACAGTGCCAAGTGGGATGAGAATTATGATTATAACGTACAAAGCCCTGACCATCACCACAAATGAGAATAAACTAACCCGTCTATTAGGGAAAGAAAGCTGCTGTGATTGGAAATGGGTCAAGTGGTATTCAGGTTGTTCCTGGCATGCTGCCAAAGGTTTCACATTTAGACCACTATATTAGGGGTCGAACATGGCTCTCGCCAACATTTGCTCGGGATGAGATCAACAAGCGAGGCACTGGCCTGGAGAATTGTAAGTATTTCATCCTTTCTGGTTGGAAGGTGTTCCAGATATACTGACAACCCCTTGAGTCTCCTTCGCTCCGGAAGAAATTGAAGAATTTAAACATGACCACCAGAAGTACCAAAAATTTCGTAAAGGTATAAAAATGATACCCCTTTGTTCGAATCTGTGCTGAGACATGCGATAGGAGTTGAATTAGAACTGCAATCCGTCCACGGAGCAACCATTACTGGCACACCAGAACAAGTTGGGGCAAGAGGGGTCTTCCTGGAGAACATGAAGCGCCGCCTGGCAGGAAAGCCCGCTCTTATCGATGACATGATCCCGTCCTTCCCACCCGTCTGTCGAAGACTCACACCTGGTCCTGGGTACCTAGAAGCCCTAACAGATGACAAGGTAGACGTCTTTACATCCCCAATTGTAAATGTCGATGCAGAGGGTATCATTACAGCCGACGGAAAGCACCACCCTACTGATGTCCTCGTCTGCGCCACCGGATTCGACACATCCTTCACACCCCGCTTCCCCATCATCGGCCGTAATGGGGATTCATTGGCGCAGCGATGGAAACTAACCCCAGAAACCTATTTATCCTTTGCTGTCGATGGGTTCCCCAACTACTTCATCTGTCTGGGTCCCAACGCAGCCTTGGGCGAAGGAAACCTGCTTCTCCTGGTTGAGAAGGAGATCGATTACTTCACTGAATGCGTGATGAAGATGCAGCGTGACAATATCCGGGCGATGGGACCCAGGAAGGAATCCGTGACACGCTTCACCAAGCATTGTGATCAGTACTTCTCGCGGACGGTATTTAGTGAGAGGTGTCGAAGCTGGTATAAGGGTGGAACAGAGGATGGGAGAGTGACAGCTCTATGGCCTGGCAAGTTTATGTTTGAAGATGTATGGTTTTTCCTTAACTAACATGCCACAGGGTCGTCTCTGCACTCCATGAAAGCCCTGATACATCCTCGCTGGGAAGACTATGAGTACGAGTATGTCAACGATAACCCGAATGGCTGGATTGGAGATGGTTGGACAGAGAATGAGAAGTACAAGAAGATCAGCGTGGATTATCTAGACGATGACCAGATTGATTTTCCGAGCATGGTTGTTGACAGTGCAGGAGTTCCAGCAGCTGGTTTTGATGCTGATTGATTATTTTGATTGTCCTAGAATTCAGTGCAATAAGTATCACAATAACTTGAAATAAGTTCGTATGAGAGTTGAGGTTGAAGTTTTCAGCTGAGCCTCATGAAGCACGTGAGACACGAAAGTAAGCCGATCAGAAGTCCCCCAAAAGTACGATCACTGTATTGTCTTTTTTTTTTTTTTTTTTTTTGTCTTGAATATATGACTATCTAGAACAACTTCATATGATGATTGATTGGGTTTTTATTAAATTTGATTAGATATGGATATGGGCATAGATCTCATTTTAGCCATGTCTTTCCGACTAGGGATTTCATTGTCATCGCCATAATTTCTAGACGGTCCAGGAAAGGTAGACAAAGGGAAAATCAAGGATAATCAACGCTCCTCCCAGACATTATGTCCGGCATGAGGCGAAAATGTCCCGTTGATACCAGTTCCACGCTCAGCATCATTGTTGTTTTCTTCCGCATCCCGCAATTCCGGCTGCGTAATCCTTCGGTATTCACTGTTATTCCTTGATGAGGCAGTGCTCATCCAACTAGGGCGACGATCCCCAAACTGAACGAACCCAATCTGGTACAGTTAGTAAAGGACTAGGAAGCGTGGAGAGCAAGGCTTGACTCACCTTAATCGCCCAAATCAAAGCAGCAGCAGCAAATATCATCCAAGAAGCATTCTGTTGCTGTGCTCTCCACGGTGTCAAGCAGCTGCGATGGTAACCAAGTTGCGTTTCACAAGCTTCGTCTCCATGGTCGCGATCCTTGAACGGCCACGCCCTGTCATGGACACTGCGGAGCCCGCAGCATTGATTGGTATCTTGAATGGTCCGGATAGCATGCGCGTTCTTCGACTGAAAAAAGGCCTGCCATTGCTGCTCAAGATGGCAGGTGAGTATATTGTCAGGGAAGAGGTATGCCAAGGCCACACTTGCAATTGCGGATAGGAGGACGGAATGGAGTTGGTCGACGATCGAAGCGATCCGGGTCCAGAGCAGGTTGGGAGCGTTAGCTGCGTTCCTGCTGGATGTATTGGACACGGCTAGGGCAGCAGCAGTCAGGGGTGAGAGTAATGTCGCTAGGACTGGAAGCCATGACGGCAGCGGAAGGAATGAGGATGATACGCGAGACCAGGCTAGCGCTCCAAGGATTAAGGTCACAACGAGTGACTAAAGTAGGTTAGAATAAGATCAGCAAGCTAAATCCTTCAGACTCTACCTATTTGTATACATACCACGATCGGAAAGAACAAGGATATGGGTGTGGTTTGGAACATTCCAGGCATGGTGTCTGTCGAGCAGGTTGTTTTGGAGAGTGGTTTAGAGTATGAGCGGGGTACGCTCTTATACGACGCAAACATATTGCAAATGACAGCACAATGGGCGTTGGCTCATGATGATCAATGGTACCTTTGTATTTCTTTGTCTCATTATGCAGGATTCCAAACCACATCTACCGATGGCATCATTTTAGCTACTTTGTACTCCATTAACTGATCTGCATCTCACCCGGTAGATGGATTCTCGGTAGATGAGGATGCGCACAAATCTTGTCCCTTAATAACTGCCAAGCATAACTTATTCCACACATTAGTCTGAAATGGCAATGCGGTGTCTCCGCTCCCGTGCGGGGAAACGTACAGTACGATACGGTATGGTAACATATATCCAAATGAGGGGAATCAAACGCGGGATCTCCAAAAGAGGTAAGACTGGGTGGAGCCACTGCGCACAGCCATTCATAACCCATCATATGCCTAGATTAGATAATTAATGATGAAAATGATAATAAATCCCACACAAGACAAAAGGGGCAAGCGACAGCTATATCAAGAAAAGGATGCAGCCAATCAATGACTGTGTTAGGGTTCTAATCACGGTATTGTGCGATGTGTTCTTTGGTAAAGGGTTAAGTTTGACTGACAGGTACTTTGTACTGCTTGTACGTCTTGATCTCCGCATCGTTGGAGAAAGGATTTTGGACACCCTCACGTACCAAAGCGTCGAAAACGCACGATGCTCCTGATTCTGATTTTCTGACAGGATTGACCCCTGCTCATTCGGCTTGTCTTCCGGCCAATTGTCAAGGCCTATTCTTATGCAGAACACGGATCTCTCGCTGGATATTACGATCTTACCCCGGACTCTTCCGCCTTTTACCTTATAAGCTTCTCCCCGATGGACCACAATGAAATCCTCTGCAGAGAAGCATTTTCGCTGTACGGTCTGCCAGCGAGGTTTCACGCGGATTGATCATTTGAAAAGACACCAACTTCGTCGTATGTGCCTCGTGCTGATGCATGCTGCAGCTTTCAGTGTCGGGTTTTCTCTGCCGGGACGTTGGACTAATCCCATAACTACCAGACTCCGGATTGAAGCCTTACTCGTGTGTTTTCTGCAATGAAGCTTTTGCGCGATGGTACGTTGCTTCATCGTCTTAAAACTGTGCGAGACTGATTTGCTCTCAAGTGATAATCTCCGGGACCACTATGCGGACTGCACAAAACGCGGGGACCAGAAAATCCCGGAAACCGGCCAGAGAGGCAGACGGCGACATGCGTGCCAACCAGTACCTTAACCTCGGTCTACTACGGACTTGAACGATGAGCTGATCAAATTCGCGTCTAGTGCATGTCGATGAAGCTTCGCTGCGATGGATCGAATCCTTGTGGTTCGTGCCAGAAACGAAATGTGGAATGCGTTAAGGAGCAAGGGCCTGGTCCACAAAAATCCCCGTTGTCAGATAGCCAGTCTACAAGCACAACCCACTCTGCGCTGGCGCCCCGCAATATCTACGAACCATCATCTGATCGCGGGTCGATCAAGTTCCTTCTCAATGGAGGCACCGACAGTTTCACCGAACACTTTCATCTTCCGCCACATACTGATAGAGCCCGCGGGTTAGAATACCATAACCAGAAGGGGTTTGAGGAGGCTGAAATGTCGATCCTGGGTTATCCTGAAAGAAGCGATCAGCCGGACTACGCACCAGCTTTTGCCGAGTCGGATCCAGCTGCCTTGTCTTTTTTCCAGGATACCTTTATCAATTTCTTTAACGGTCCATTTCCACTTGGCGAGCCACCAAAAACATTGGAGGAGCACTACAGAAGCGAAGCTCGCTACAATCCAATGATGTCCCAAGGGCAACCATCACATGAACCGGAGAAGCCGTTTGCTATGGCACTGATTCAGGCAATACTATCCAAAGTTTGGACTGTCCACCTTGAGCCCAAGACTCAGGAAGAAATCTCCATGAATATCCACTTCCTATTGACAACTTCCCGCATTCGAAAATTCGTTTCCCTATATTCCAGGTTCTGGCATTCCAATTGCCCGCTCGTCCACATTGCAAGCTTTGATCCCGAAATTGCTTCGCTGCCGTTGCTCACGTCTATCGTCTTTATGGGTGCCATATATTCAGATGACGTGAGGGAGTCGAGTACCGCCAAGAGGATTCTTGACTTCGCAGAGCTGTTTGTGTTCTCGAGTCAAGTTTTTGCATCCAAGCATGAGATTGGTGTCAGTTTCCGTACGGAACACCGCATGGATGATGATCCGAACGAATTCGTCAAACTGCAAGATCTTCAAGCAGGATACATCATGACAGTTACGCAATACTGGGCAGGTGATCGTGTTTCACGAAATCGCGCGATGGAGACCCTCTTTAATCAGGTTGTCAACGTGAGCCGACACTGTTCGTTATGAAAAGTATCACATGCTAACCAGACTGGCAGGTTGCTCGTAAACTCGGTCTTTCCAAGTGTCGTCACCAGCCGCAGGATCAACTCCATGAATCCTTGTGGATTCAAACAGAATCTCGTATTCGGTATGGCTAGTGGCTTATTAACCTCATATTATCAGTCTCCTGATGCTGATCGTTGGTAGTATCATGGCCATGATAGCCTTGATCGACTCTGCATTCTCATTCTTCCAAAACTACCCATGTCGTCTGACGCATGTTGAAATGGACTGTGATCTTCCATGCGAAGAGATCATTTTCAATTCCGTCCACCCATTTTCAGAGCCGAATTTCCGCTTTTCTCGAAATCTCACCGTCTCGGAGGCTTTCCAGAGTTTGTTTGAGGAGTGTCCCGAGGACTCGCCTAATCCACCGATTATCTCCTTTCCACAGAACGATATTGGTAATCCTCTGGGATTTACAGTGTTCGATATGTTTCTTCTAATACACCGTATGTACTTTCTCTCATACGATTTATTCACAGCTACTAACTAGGCCTAGTGCTATACGCCTTCATCAACACCCACATGACTCTCCTAATCCCCATCCTCCGAAAATACCAAACCGCAAAATCACCCAGCACAATCCCAGATGATTCCATCCTAGCAGCAATCCGCACAGCCCTATCACGATGGCGCGAACACTGGGTAACATTACACAACCAATTACCAGGAGATCAATGGGCGTCTATGGGCTTCTACAAGAATGGATATAACTTTTGGCTCGTCTCGCAGCTGCTGATTACCAAGAAAGAAAGCGTAGATGTGGTGATGCGGATGGAAGTGAAGTGTGAGGATAAATTGGAGAAGCTGAAGGTGCTACTTATGGATGAATAGGTTGGGTTTTTTTTTTTTTTTTTTTTTTGTATTACTGCTGTTTGGACTGGTTTGCATATGGGAGGAGTATATTCACAGTGGTCGTATGTATTAATATCGACTATTGTCTTCATCGCCGTCACAGGCACCATCGTCAGCTCTTCAAGGGTTTGGCTATGCATACCCCAACTTCACAAACATCTCAATATTCGTCTTCGTGTCCTCGTCGACATACTCCGGCGGCTCCGCAAACGTAACATGTTCCCCATGCAACTCAGCAACCTTCCCGGTCAACGAAGGATCATCGACAAACTGCTCCACAGCCTTAACGGCCGTAGACATGGGCGTGAGAATCATCGCCTTGAACAAGTCTGAGCTGGGCGCGATATTGGTTTCTACTTCATCAGTCTCTCACTTATGTGAGCACATCGAAGGGAGGACATACCGATAACAGCCGGCGCGAGTGCATTAATCCGAATCTGCTCCTTTTCTAATCTTGGCGCTAGGGAGCGAACCAGCCCAATAACACCGTGCTTTGTAGCCGAGTAGATTGGCGCCATCGGGAAGGCATAGAGACCGGCGTTGGATGCGGTGCAAATGATAGTACCCTTGCTAGGTGCTTTCCCATCACCAGCATCCATGGGAGTATTCTTGGAGATATAGTGTATCCCCAAATGAACAGCTGTCCTCATTAGCATTTACGATTCCATAGATAAGAGGAGATATCGCATACAATAAATCACCCCCCAAAAATTAACATCTACTGTCTTCAACCCCGGCTTCACCGGCCCACCACCACTCGCAGTCCCCAACGCAGACTTAACCAAATCAACCGACTCCGTAACTCCCGCATTAGCAAACACAGCATCTACACCCCCTTGCTGCTCAGCCACCCTCTCAAAAGCTGCAGCCTGCGACTCCCACGAGGACACATCGCAGTGCTCAAAACTAACGCTTGCAGTCGGGTACTGCGAGCGAAGCGACTGGCGCGCTTTGGCGCCTGCTGAGGGATTGATGTCTAGGATTGTAACATGGGTGTTCGTGTTTGTGTTCTCGGGGGAGGAGAGGAAGTAGCGGGTTAGGCCTAGGCCGATGCCTGATGCGCCGCCAGTTATGATGATGGATTTTGGACGGGGCATTGTTGTGTTGGGAGGAGATTGGAGGGGAGGGTGTTTTCCTGTACGAAGTATGGAGTATGAGTTGGTGTGAGGGAGATATTCGAGGGAGTACAGGTTTTATGTGATGCACTCACTACTGTGTTATGCTCATTTTGTACCTCGTAACCCCTCTCGGATGATCTCCACTGTGGAGTTGGGGGGATTTCCGATAGTATCATCTATGTACATGGATGTTTGCACTAGTTTCCCGAACTATGTACATACAATGCTATAAATCGGCAATGCGATTGAGCGTAGCAATATTCTTTCTCGCTAAACCTAGGACTTCTTGACTACCATATCTCAGAATGAACTCCATACACCAGGGCAGGTAAATCACGTGGAGCTGAACATATGTAGGTTTCGTCGATCACTACGAAGTATATCATCCTATACATCCTCATAATTCCAAATACTTGATTCCCAAAAAATGGCTTAGCTCAAACAATCCAACCACTGCCCCTATTTGACAAATTCACCCAGGTAGCCCTTCCAATACCCCAACGAGCGCATCCCGATCATCACAACTCCGAGTCGTTTCGAAATCAATCAAAATCGCCTTCCCTCCGCGAATAAGAAATTAAATCAGTTCAGATCATTATGTCGGATTCCCAACGCATATGATCAAGAAAGCATCTACCGACAGGCTTCATGATCCGGAGGACCCGCATGTCGTGCATTCTAAACTCGTTCCATGATGACCCTCGATCCATTGATATGCTGTCGTCTCCTTTTACAGGCACTGGATCTCCCAGTCAAAGCGTGCGAATTTGGCAGCTACGACAGTGTCAAATGTCAGATGAGTAGCTTCATACACGCCTGTTCATAGCTTCCCGCCTATTTTTAGGTCCGTGTACTCAATAAAAATCCTGTGCTATGTGTTCTTGACAGCAGGAAACGCGATCCGACTCACGCGCGCGAAGTACGGCTGTCCAGTATTTGCTTGCAGAGCCGCTAATCCGTCGTTCCAGTCTCCAGCAGGTAAAGGTGGGAGGACTCTGGCTGGGGATGGACCGAAAGTCATGTCTTCTGTGATGTAGATACCGGGCTTGGTTCTATGGAAGATTCATCGTTTGTAAAGCGAGCATCTGTGGTTTTCCCCTTCTGGTTAGTTCTGCCGTTTCCAAGTAAAACCTCCCGGTTAGCCTAGAGCAGGTCGACATGATGCCACCCAATGAAATCGATTCTGCCCCATGATCTTACTCTAACATTCCACAACAACAGGTTTCTCATCAAAAGCCATCCTCGCCAAAATGGCTCAATTATCTCGGCGCATATTGCGGTGTGCTCTCTCTAACAATCCTAAGAATATGTTACGCATAGATTGTACCCTTGGTGTTGATATGATTGAAGATGTCAGAGGATGAAGCATCACAATAAGCTCGCTCAGATTCATTACACAAACTCAAGCTCTACAGTCTTGCCAACCCAGTCAAATACTATCTCATAAATGAGCAACTTGTATTTCTTCGTTCAAGCCAGCAGATTTCATCCGATTCCTTAATCCAACGATCCAAAAACTAATATAACCATTCTTAAACCAAGCCCAAGGAACATTCCCAGGATATTTAATAAGCATTTCCTCAAGGTATGGGTGTAATTTCATTTACAAAACAACTTCAGCTCTCTAACATCAATGCCATCTAGGATTACCATATAAACCACTTTGTCCACATGTCAGAGATGAATGCATACAATGGTGGTATCAGCCAAATAAAAAGTCAAAAGAACAAGTACAACTTGGATTAAGGTATCATTTTCCAGCATACCTTCAGGACTCAGCATGTAAGGACAATACCCCATTGTACTTTTTCCTGGGCGAGGCTGGGACAGGGAAGTCAAGGAATGCCATGGAGTTCCCAAACACATTGATATCGTGTCTTGACAATGATTCTGGTTTGAAGGAGGGTGGGGGGTTGGAAAAGGCAAATGTGTTCTTGGTGAGCCTATAAAACAGTGCAAGTAGGCTGCGGCACCATCCGCAAAATTCACGGATATCTCATATCCAAATCCGCATCCGCAATGTGGATAGTTGCGGATGGCAAAGTCCTGTATATAAGACATCCGTGGATGCCTTGCGGGTTTGTAAACTTTTCAGACATGCCTAGACTTGTAATCTACTCGGGAGTGCATTAATTATGCAGTGTTGCTTGTATTTTTTGAGCAATCAGTAAGTAATTCTACAATGTATCCAAAGCTATCCGCAAGCATAGAAAACTTATCAAGTCCTTGAGATCACGAATAAACAGCTAATTCTCAATTTCTCTACAGCTGCATAGTAATTGAAAATCAGTGTGACAGCCTGGTCACGTTGTCTGGCTATCACATGAGATGCAGTTGTTTGCTTTGTTGATAAATACGGCATCACCTCTTTTCTTCCTTCCTCATGTTGATTATTCTCGTTGATAGTTACCTAGGTAGAACCCATGAGTTGGATGTTCCATTATCCTAGTAGAGCGCCGTGACAATCAGGACCAAATAGAATAAATACTATACTATCTTCTTGTATCACTTATTATAGGTTCAGGTCATTATAAAGATGATTTGATGGTGTCGATATTCTTCACGAGTGTATACTGAATTCTATCCACATTAAATGACTATATATTTCTAAAGTGAGACCAAGTATTAACCAAGGCAATAAAAATCACAGGCTACTACCACCCCGGAGAGTTAGAAATAGTCGACAATTCATTTTCATCATAGAACCCATTGATCAATACCTCTTTATTTCTTATTATTTAAAACATGAATATGGTCAAAACGCAGATTAGTACTGTAATAAACAAAACACGTTTAAATTACAATTAGAACTAATAGTTAGTCAGCTGTATAAAAGTCATATGCAGTCTACATTGAGGTAAACTAGCGAGAATTATGCTAGTGCAGATAGTAACAAGACATCCATGGATATTTTGTAGATATCCGCAAATTTGCAGATGCGGATGGTGAGATGGCATCTGCAGATGCGGATTTGCTGCAGCCTAGGTGCAAGCATACTGGAAGGAAAGACGAATCTGTATCATTATCATTGATAGTGTTCGAAGCTTCCTACAGGGGTCCAACAATGGTCAAGATAAAGAATGTTAAGGGTACACATTCTATCTCACAATGTGAGAAATTACAGGAATTGATATGCAATATCACAAGGTTGTCTTTGTGATTCTTTGCTGCACAACAAAACGAGATGTTCCATACTCCGGTGTTTTACTTCCCAATGGAATCTTATTATCTTCCACTAAAGAGTCTCAATAATCTAAACCCTTCTAACACTGTTAAAAATGGGAATCTGTGAAGCATCCGTGTTGCGGTGCTCTTCTTGCTTTCTGTCTTGCTTCCCCTCTTTCCTTTTGCTAGTGTTGACATTAAGATTAGTTAGTTGATTTGAGTTAACAATATATAATTTTAAGATAGTTCTATTTATTACTATAGGGTGAATTGTTCTCAAGATGCAGATAACTTCCATTCGTTCAGCGGGGAATACCCAGTAGCCCCGTAAATCTACTTTGCTTTCCATACATAACCTCACCACATTCTCTAATATGATCCTTGCGTGCACACGAGATGGCGATAGACGATATACACCTGAAAGAGCGAGCTGTGGTTTTAAAACCCGCACACTGAATAAAGCCTTCTGTTTCCATGTCTCAACAGACGGACTTTGCAAAACGCATTGCTCCGACAGCCTAAGCTTTGGAAGACAAGATAAACAACGTCCATAATTTACGAAGACTAAGCCAAAGAACCGGTCCCTCTGTCAGTAGGCAAAAAGCATCCCTAGATGCAATTTTGCCTCTTAGGACCAGATTTCGAAACAGATGTAGGATGTGATAGTGCTCATCAATCCCCCCTGGTCTTCCGCTACGGAGATGAAGACGATTTTACTAGTTGGGCCTCTCGATACATCTTCTACTATATAGTTTGCCCACGAAAACGTGCGAATGGGAACATATCAGCCATCCAAATGGCATAGTAGTCCCATTGGTGCAGCATATGCGGTTGGCTCTTGACTGGGCGTCAAGGAACAGATGACAACCGAATTTAAAGCAGCTAATGAGGTATTTGTTACCGTCTTGAATTAATATACAGTAGCCTACACCATGCATAGATATTTTAACTGGGCAGGTGATTTATTTTAAGGAGAGAAGGTGGGCGCACACATTAAGTTAGTTCCCTACAAAGAGCCGCGACAGGACCTATAAAAGGGATACCAATGGTTTCAATTGCCATGATATAGCGCGCCTGCACTGTGGACAAGCCATTCGTCTGTTGTAACAAACTGCCTACCAGCCTCCAGCTAAACCATAATATCACATCTGGGTGACTCCATTTGCTTGACTATTCAACGATGTGGCTGAAGTACAGTTGAACAGACAGAGTCCTCAGATGCAGTTATATATAAGGGCGATATAGAAGCGATAATCCTAAGCCATGCGCATTTCAGTAAGAATAAACCAACTATATTCAATCAATGAAATAATACACCTAAAACACAAATCTAAGAAGACTTCTTAGCAACACCCTCCGCCTCATGCGCAACGGCCTTAGCCGAATCCGCGACCTCATGCTCCATCGACTTAGCAGCCTCTGCGCTCGATCCCTCCAAGCTACGGCGGTACATGAAGATACGGCTGACTTGGACGACACCAACGCATCCCAGGAAGAAGTTGACGGCGGCGAGGCTACCCACGTATTAGATGTATCTTTTATGAAGGGGGTTTTTGAAGTGAAAGCGTACAGGACGTTCCGGGGAGTAATGATCATACACCAACGGGTCCAGATGGCGCCAGTAGCCATGAGGGCACCATTTTGTGTGAGGGAGAGCTTTTCGGCGGGACGCTGGAAATCGGAGATACCGGCGATGACGAGACCCCACTGCGCAAGTTTAGCTATACCATCCATCCAGCGTGTATTATATCAACTGTCGCAAAACCCCGCTCGCGTGACCAGTGTTGTAGCACATACCTTCATAACGGGGGCCCTACACAACCACAATTAGCTTGTGTCCATTGCGCAAGTATTCCCGGGAAAAATGACTCACCAGAAATGCACCGTCTTGATTCCAACGGGGCTATTCCACAGACGCTGGAAGGTACTCTGGCTCTCGGCTGACGCCGCTCCAGCATCCGAGCTCTGGAAACGGAATCCCTGGGCGCCGGGACGACGGAAGGGAGCGTAAGCGTTGCGGAAGGCCGCGCGCGTGTTCTGGAAGAAACGGAGACCAATGCGGGATGTCGACATTCTGGCGTTGTGTTGTATGAGGGGGGAGGGGGGTTTCTGGAGGAAAATGAGATAAAAGATGTCGGGGTCGTGGGACTTCAGGGAACGCGGAAAATTGAGCGGAGATGGGGTCGGTGCGAGTAATCGAGGCGCAAAGGCTCAACAACGAATAGAAGTAATAATAATCTTTCAATCCCAATAATAAAGACAGAAAAAGCAACAAAACTCAGCTGTCAAACAAAGTTCAAAATGAATGGTCTTCCCCGACCTCGGCGTATGGTCCAAGTTGGGGTTCCCGTTGCGGCTCTTGTTCCGGCTGAGGTAAGCGGTGACAATCACGCTTGCCCGGATTGGTCTGCTCTCTCAACTCAGTTCGGACGAACTTCAACGCCTGTCAACCCCAATTCTCCCAGCTGAATTACTGCCGTTACGCAGTGAAAGGGTCATTTCACCATGTCCGCCAAATACGCATTCTCCACAGGTCTCAAGGAACTCCGTTTCCTATTCTGCCAGAGCTCGGAGCAGAGCGCCGCAACAAGGTGGGCTACTTGAATTGGACTAGGGAACGAGAAAGAATCTCAAATAGCTAATTGCGTTCATGTATAGGTCGTTCTTGAACCGCGCATACCCTACCATGAAGAAGCACAACCCTCACACCCCCATCCTGGTCCGTGAGGCCGCGGGTACCCTGCCTCGAGTTTACGCCAGATATGGTATGAAATCGGTCCAACAACGGTTCAACGGAGATATTCTAACAAGATGGACAGATCTCGGACGGGAGAAACAGGAGGTGCTGCTGGGTAAGTGGTTTGGCTTTATCACAACTAGAGATGTTGCTAATATGTGGGTTGCAGGTCTTTCGGATCAGCAGATCGAGGAAAAACTCACCGGTTTGGTCAAGGAGTCTTCATAGCGACAATACCGTTATCGTATATCCATCCGTCTACGTTTATGCATTCCGTGTTGTTTCCCGTTTCCGCCATTGTATCTATAGATGAATTCAAAATTTTATTCGGCCATGCTTTGATTTCTATTCATGCACTGCTACCTACAAACTGCTGCTACCATTAGCAACATCCCCGAATCTATACTGCGCCCAGCTCAGACTACCCTCTCCCAGAGTCCACAGCCTCTTTGCGCGGTCCTCACCCGCAGCTCCAGCTCCGATGTGAATCGGAAGCAGGTGGTCAAAGGAAGGATGGGCCTGTCTGGCATCGGGCCGCTTCAACAACTCCGACATGGCTTTCTCGCGGTCTTGAGGGGCGGTGGTTACAGCGTTTTTGAGCGCTTCGTCGAAGCTAGCAGTATAAGGGAGAGGTCTGGGATCCCCAAAGCTGTACATCATATCGCGCAGATTGTGGACTGCCATGCCAGATGCAATGATGAGAATATTGTCTTCTCGGAGGTGGGAGACTGCTTGCCCGAGGCGGTAGTGCTGCACTGGGTCCTCAGTCTTGAAGAGCGAAACCTGGACGATAGGCACGTTCAAGGGGTTTTCATCGGGTTCGAATGCTGCCAGAGTTAGCATGACATGCCTGTATGTTAAGTGTGAAGAATGGACGAACACTCACCACACTTAAAGCTCGCCCAAACACCATGATCTAACCCCCTCTTCACCCCTTCAGCCTTAATCCCCGCCGAACCAAGCGCATCAAGCACATTCTTCGCAACCTCCGCACTTCCCACATTCGGATACTTCTCTTTGTAATAGTGGCTCGGAAAGCCATAGAAACTATCCTCGTCAGCGCCCAACAATCACTTTACTAAAACGCTAAACACAGGGGAGGGAGGTAACGCACTCATAAATCAAATCTGTAATCTCCGCCGTATTCACCTGGATCGTATCCCGGGACGCCTGCCAATGCGCTGAGAACACCACCACAGCACGCGGCTTGACTTTGGTCGTGATCTCGCGGCCTATCTGGCCGAGCTTTTTGTAAGCGGGGTGGTCGATTTGGTACATAACGGTTGGCTTCACAGTTTGTCAGCCCAATTATATCTATTCTACTAGAAGAGACGGAACGTACACCTCCATGACTGAGGAAATAAACCGGCGTCCGCATCTTGACCTCGTCCGTAGCAAGCGCTGAACTCGAGAATCCTTGAACCGCAGGAGAAGCCTGTCGTAGTATAGAAGAAGGCCGAGAAGAAGCGACTCCTCCCCCGAAGATCCGACGTAATCCGAACAAACCGGCTGTGTCTTCGTTCCCAAAGAAAACAGCTATAGTGATCGCCGCGAGTAAAGCGACAATCGAAGCGAGTAAGATTGGAATACTCGTCGATCTAGAAGTATGTGTGTTTGGATGGTGCTGGTTGAGTGTTGTACTGGGGTTGGTTTGGGGAGACATATACACTGTCTATAGAATAGAGATCTGGGAGTGTCTTATTCTATAATAAAAAAGGAAATGAAGTTATAAAGGCAATGGATGAGAAATACTCGTAGAATTGCTGGTTCAGTCGGTATTTGAGCGTGATATGTCAGCGGGGAGCGGAATTCGGCCGCGTCGGAGTGTGCATACAAGCAAAGCCGGAGGACTCGAAAGGTCAGGGACCACATATTATTATTAATTATTATATAGCGTTGTTATGGCTCTGGTATTTGGGTGTAAATAGTAGGCCCCATGTGCCTCTCAAAATCACATCGGAAGCAATGCACAGCAAACAGACAACATGAGAACAAATTAAACATACACCGAGCCAACATTAACATCAAACATCAATTCTCATTAAGTATGGTACGTAATTCTATAATCTTATCCAAGGTAGCCAAGATAACCAGTAAGCAATACCAAAAAGCGAAACTCCTAGAACGAAGAGAAAAAATAGAGAAAAGAAGAGAAGAGAAGAGAAGGGTATATGCCAATGTAAACCATGACCATCACAAAACATAATCACATTACAACACAGTCCCCTTCGTTTGGATTTTGTCGATTGACAGCGGACCGAGAAAGACGCGTCTTCTGCATCCGACTGCCGCCCTTCTTGAGTTCTTCGAGGCGTTCTCGGGCTTTCGGGAATCCTTGGGCTGTATGTCGTTAGCATAACTGTACATGAAGAACCGTAGGGAATGGTGAACGGGAACTCACCAGCAGCACGCCAATACCATCTTTTAGCATCGTCCAAATTAGCCGTAACACCAATGCCAACCTCTGTAAAGTACCCCATAGCATACTCCGCCTTTGCCAAACCAGCGGTAGCAGCTTTCCTAGCCCAGAGATACGCCTCGGTATCACTCTGCTGCAGAATGCCCTCCGAACCAGTCAAGTACCATCCACTCAGCGCAAGCTCACTCTGGTGCTCACCCTGCGCCGCAGCATGCGTGTACCAAATGATACTTTGTCTCGGATCGACAGGGCATCCCATGAGCCCGTACTCGTAAGCCGCAGCAAGCCGGAACTGGGAAAACTTATACCCCAGCTCGCCGGCCTGGCAAAAGAGCTGTTTGGCGTATTCCTCGTCACGGACGACAATGTCATTGGGACTGGCGTTGGCGTACATCAGGGCAAGTTCGTGGAGGGCGTGCGGGTTTTCTACATCTGCTTTTTCGGCAGCGCGCTTGAGCCAGGTAACTCCTTCGCGCGGGTTCTTGGTCTGGCCTAGCAGGCCTTTCAGCATGATCATGCCCATTTTGTACATTGCGGGGGGGTCGCCTAGGGAGGCGGCGCGTTTGTACCACTGGACTGCTTTGAAGGGGTCGCGTTTTGTGCCGCCGCCTTCTTCGTGGCCGATTTCGCAGCATACGGCTACACGGTAGGCAGCTTGGGCATGGCCTGATTTAGCGGCAGAGTGGTATAGGTTGTACGCTTCTTTGTTGTCGACTTCGAGACCCAGTTGGCCCTGACCGTAGCAGTCGGCCAGATAAAATTGTGCATCGCCATATCCGCTCGAGACTAACTTCTTCACGATCTTGTATGCATCCATAACATACTTCTCTCGCGCCTTGGTCTTGCCTTTCGCGTCCAGATGTGCCTCATCGACAAGTACAGTAGCCGCTTCCACCAACTTTTGCGCAAGCAAGAGATGGGTCGCCTGGTTAGACGACTTCTTCTTCACTGCCAACTGCAACTCCTCCAGTTCCTGACGAGTCACTGGCTTAGCAAACGGGCCCATATCTTGCTGCGGGGATGCCGAAGTAGAAGTAGGTGACGTCGGGCCGTTGGGAGCGCCAGCATACTGTCGCACTGGTGCCGGCTTGCCTCCATCGTGTCCCGGACGGAACGGCACCGGGTGGTGCGGCAGCGCATCGGGGTTCTGCTGCGGATCCACAGCCTCCATCTCGTTCGCCATGGCCGGCTGGTTCATGCGATACGGGCGCGGCGGGCCACCTCCAGCAGCGGAATATCCTGGCATGGTATTGTTGTGACTATCCTGGCGGTGTGGGAAGGGATAACCCGGAACCGATTCTCCGTAAGCTTCTGGTGGGCTGTTGTAGCTATAACCACTTCGGTCATCCCCAGGAGACATAGTGTGAGGTTCGTTGGGAAGATCAAATTGGAACCCGGCGTTCGCGAACTGGTTCGGTGGGTTAGTATCCGGGGAAACGGGAGCTGAATGCGAGCCAGCGGAGTGCGGGGTGAATGCTGCGTATTGCCCCCCGGGTGGTTTCGACTCAGTTGGGGTTTTGGGTGCCGGCCTCGGTCCCTCGAGTCCTGGCAGGCTCTCATCGACCGGCCCGCTCTTCGCATCCGGCATCGCATCGAAGTTGGGCATGTCGGGGTCATCAGGTGCGGATCCGTAGTAGCTGTCCAATAAATCGTCCGTGTCGTGGCTATCCCCAGCGGGTTCGCCGTGCATAGGTCCAGCAATTTCCAATGGCGCGGTTGCGCTTCGGTTGATAGGCGCCATTGGCATTGGCGGCGGACCATTGGCGTCGGTATAGGAACGGTCATACGGCCGCGTAGGCGCCGGGCGTCCAGCGCTAGCAGACCTCATTGCAGGGCCAGGGTAAGGACCCCTTCCACGACCTGGGGAGTCCGGAGGTGGACCCGGTCGTCTTCCATTCGAGGTGTGCGGTCGATCGGGCACTCCCCTGGGTGGGGGCCCGTTGATATTCATTGCGGCCATGCCTCGTTCAACCGGGGGCGGTACAGAGCCTTTACGTGGTCGTCCTCTCCCGGGAAAGTGAGGGTACGGATTGTCGTAGGGTGATCTGTCTGACGGCGGCGGACGACGCGGACCTAGCATTGTTAACAGTGCGTTTCTCTCTGGAGATGGACCTACTCACCTGGTCTCATTCCACCCCGTCCAGGAGGGGGAGGTCTCCTATTACTGCTGGAGCTGCTACTGCTGCTCCCATACCCGCGCGGAGGATATCCATATCCTCCGTGATCCATGGGAGGTGGTCCGCGAGGAGGTCGCGGGGCTCCTCGAGGGGGCCCATACGACCGAGGAGTCGCATAATCAGCACCACCACCACTACCACCACCACCGCCATAATAGCCATATCCATCACCGTATCCAGCGTCACCATATTGATAGCCGTCATCATATCCATAATCGTAGTATCCGTCAGCAGGCGCCGGGCCCGGGGGAGGTCGACCATAACTCCTCATAGGAGGAGGTTGTCTCTGCGGCGGCGGGCGTTGGGGGTAAGCCATGGCGCCGATGTTTATTCTTTGTTTTCTTTGTTTCAATCGATTTTTTCCAGTATGTAGGCGCCCAGGGGAAAGGGAGGTGCAATAAGAAGGAACAAGTGAATGTGTCCGAACAGACCGTTATCGGGCGCGCGCGCGCGCGTTTCAGGGCTGGTTGGAATGCGTACGGAGAGGTCGAACCGCAGGAGGAATGACCGGAATTGCGGGTCCTCAGTGGTACATTAGAGACAGCGCAAGGGAACAAGCGAGTGAGAGCCTGTAACACGTCCTAGACCATTGTCCGTCAGTTGAATGTTTGGCGCAAGCTGTGGGCGCAGATGCGATCGAGGAATTGTTGGGGATCGCAGGTTGAATTGAGGAGACTCACCCAGTCCAAGCAGTAAATATACTATTGATGGTAGCAATAACGCTGTCTCTGGGTCATAAGAATAGGAGGATATTGGGTAGGATGTGCCCCGTGGAGAGTTGTCGGAGGGACGTCGGAGAGGTGGAGGGGACAGAACAAGGGAAGGCAGAGAAGGTGCTCTAATAAAGCAATAATAATGACAATTCACATGAAAAGAAATAAAAAAAGAAAAAGAAATAACAAATAGCCCTGAACAGCTGTAATAATTCTCTGGATCAGAAATTTAACTGTGCCAGCCAGGGTCTACCAAGGGACGGCCACCACCAGCCTAATAAATATGGCTGATTGTGATAAACCGCCCATAATACCCGACACAGTCCAGTCTGTCAGATCCAAAGCACCTGTTCCTGTTGATCCTCCTAAATTTCTCTGTATTAGTATAGCTCATTAGCGCTCACAGCAAACATACAGCACTTGTCCATACATATAGGAGACAATTGTACAGTATGTGCTGGCTACACCTGCAAATCACATACATTGCAATCAAATATTGGAGCAGCACAAAACAAACTAATAAAACAAAACAATGAAACAAAGCAATGTATCTTCCTCGACAGGGTTTCCGCATATAGTAATTGCCTGTCTGCGCCACAAACGGTTCCCGTATCCACGCACCAGCCACGTTTCAGCCACTTCGCCGCCCGTCATCCATTGTCATCATCTCTAATTCTAGCTCTCCGATACGCCGCTCTACATCTTTTCCACGGCTGATCTGAATCACCCTGAAACGTATTCATTCACTCCATTTATACACATTATATACAATTACCATGTCCAGAGGATCCGGGGTAACCTGGCTGAAAATGCTGGGAACGTACGTCACAGCAACCCACTTCTAATCCGCGAAACCAGACACAATCTAACATAGCCTCATGATACAGTGCAATCGTCCTTTGCGTCGGTGGCCCAGCCCTCGTCCAAGCCATTCGCCCAACAGACGAAGAACTCTTCAAGCGCTACAACCCCGAGCTTCAAAAGCGCAGCCTGGAAGAAGGTGACCGGCGCGCGCAGGAATTCGATGCTTATGTCAATCGGTTGAAGGAGTGGTCGAAGTCGGATAAGTCGAGTGCGTTCTTTCCCCGAATATATGTGTGATGGTTTTTGCTTGGTTTATGAGGTGGTGGCTGACGATAATGCGATGCAGTTTGGTTCGCCGCAAAGGAGCAAGAGCAGCAACGGACGCAGCAGGCGGTTGATACGCCGCGGACAAAGCCGAATGACGAGGCAAGGATACAGCGCGAGGAAATGCGGAAGGAATTGTTGGGTGAGAAATAGAGTGCGTTGGATGTCCGCCATTTTTCCATATGACGAGAGCACGAGTACCATCCTATGATCCGACAGGGATTGGGGCTTATGTCTGATATTGTATTATACCTGATGATGGGCTTGTACTATTACAGCTTGATCGTTACGATTTATGTGCATGATTGCAAAGGGTTCTGGGAATGGTCTTAGAAAAGTTCGGTTGGTTTTCAAATCGTCCATTTGCTTTAAATACGTTAATTGCACTTGACTCTGACAGTAAGAACGAGAAATGCCGAACGCCGAGTCCACACAAACTCTAGATTCTGAGTACTATTAAACATGACTTTTCAATAACTTTTCCACCCATAAATCACACAGATATGAACGCTAAATGATAGAAATAAACCGTTGATATAGTATCTGTTGTGACGGTTAGCGGAGCACCAGAAACGGCTCTCATTGAACCACGCTTCTGCCGAGCCCTATCGCCTGCCGTCGATGGGAATTCCATTGCTCTTTGCGGTATGGCGCCTATTGTGTCAGGGATAGCGCCGCCTCAATGCATCCGTTGCATCTAGAAAAGCCCGACATCTCTCCCTCAAAGGACCACATACTTTCTCTTCCCTTTCTCCTCCTCCTGTCTGCCTCTTCCGGTGCACTGCCCTCCTACCAAGGTGCTGCGATCCCCGATGATTGCACTTTTCCAGTATGGCGCCGTCCACTCCGAGAGGAGTGGCCGACGAGTCATCTGAACGATTGAGACATTAAGACCTTGTTACTGTTGCTTCATTGGGACTTGAGCTATCCACTTCACCTCTGATGCTGTGCTGCTACTTACTATTGCAGTTATGGGCCCCTTCATGCATTCACCAGTTGATCAGCGACTTTTGAGTTGCCTCTAACAGTGCCATCCTATTTGAGCTTTCCCTTGAGGACTTCTAGATCTTTAGCTATCTTGCTTGTGGTTTCCTATCTCAAAATCCCATGATTACTTTTTCAGCCAGGCTCCCAAGATTCTGCATGTGTTGACTCCCATATATGAACGTACGACTTATGGCTGCCCGAGCATATGCATGAACGGATACGACTATGATGATTGGACCGGGGACTACGGCTGTGCAGCCAGCATCCTTTGACAATGACTACCGCATACATGCGTTATGCGCTTTGTGCTCCATTTGTCCCTTTGAACTTCTTTCTCAGCAACCTTCCCTTTTGCGCTTAGTTGACGGCCGCCAGATTGTGTATAAAAGGGCCGTACGATAGATTGATATCTAGAATCAGAGTTCTTCTCTATTCGTTCTGAATAGTGCCTATGACATCCTTCCGAGCATAAGTCCTTGACACCATGACATTTCTTGCTATGTCTAAACTGTCTGCATTTTGCAACAAGCGTGGCATGCAAAGTCTTGCAAACCAACCGTACATTATCAGTGAATTCAACAATGCGAACCATATGATTATAGCCAAGACCAATGTCTGGTAATAATCTGCACACTGTTCCATTTCACTCTGCATACTCGATAAGAGGATCCCAGTCCGTGGACTCTAGAAAATTCTTGTGCCCTTAAACGTAGTGGGCTTTCTCCAAGGGAAGAGTGGTAAGTCCACCGGTATTCAGCAAAGGCATCATCATTATTTTCTAGGATATTGTGAGTGCAAGACATGGAATTATGTGTGAAGTCGTTGGTCAAACCTACGAGACATTTCAGATAGTAGAGAGGATAATGACTTGACCTTATTGTGGAAGGTGTGCTTCAAGTAAGGCCAATCCAAAGTCTCATGGTGAACTTAGCAGGTACTGACACTGCTCCAGTCAGCCGCGCTTCTGACTGCAGCTAGGCTGCATGTATGCCACGTTAGTGATCAAGCGCATCAGTGTTAGTGACGCTTAACCTTCAGAATTGGCGCTCATTAGGCTTAATAAACAAGGCTGAACGTATAAAGCAATGTTATGACCTGACAATTCACCAGGCACTCTCCTTTTGGTTGTGAAAAAATGGGGATAGGAATAAGCAAGCACGTCGATAGCTCCCAAACTTAACCCTAAGCTTTTCAAAATTGGTAGTCCCACCTCAGCACTAGAGACGCCCAATTGCCCGATCATGAACCCTTGGCCAAAACGCTGTCACGGGCTCGGAAATAATAGATACTGACGAAAAGATATTCCTATCTAAACTATTGCAGCCATCGACGAAAATATCGAGTCTGGAGAAAGAAAAGAAACGGAACCTATCTAGAGGATGGAGGCTTTCTTATACCACTGTACAACAGGGCTCTGCTCATGTTCGGTGTCGTCTGTCATTATTAGTCTTATAGGCAGTGTCAAGTTGTATGGGCTATGTCAAGTTGTATACACGACGTCAAGATGTCAAGCCGTCACGCTCAGTCCATCAGACAAACTATGAGCGACCTAAGATCTGGTTTCCGGAACTTGCGCAGTTGCACACGCACCAGCAGCACCACGGCGACTGCGCAGGGGAAGATTCGAACTTCAAGTCCTCAACGCAGGCATTGAACGGTCACATTTCCGTGAGACATCCTTGCGCGAAAAATCATGGTATGTCGATCGTTCAGACGATGGCGGAGAATGTGGGACTGCCAAGTGCTAGGGAGGAAAAGGCTATATATCTAAATTTTGAAGAGGGCTCTTGGCTACGTTTGTCACATATACGTGCTACATTAGAGATTAGACTCAAGGCTCTGGGTTGCCCATTACCCAGGTCTACAATCCTTTCTTGTCCCCCAGATTCGATAATCGCGCCGATGGCTACAGTAGCTTAGATTGATATTACCCGTATCTGCTATTCCGAGCCTGTGACATATACCACTAAGCCCATGCAGTAGGTATATAAAATCCTCTAATTTCCCGAAATAGTTTTGCGGGCGAAGGGGTTGTTTAGACGATCCTGGAAATGCCTTAAGTGAACAACCCTAACAAACCGCCTCCGGCGAGCACGCTGGACGAGAGCACTGTCTCCAGCTCTCAAACGACGAATTCTCACCTTCTTTTGATGTCTGGTGTCAATACTCATCATTGAGTGAGGAAACCAAGAAGAATTCCCTGTGGCGGTTGTGCGGACGTGTTGTGATCCCTCAACGCGCTCGCACCCGCCTGACCGCATAGAATGGTTGATGCCAACAAGGAATAGCTCAAGTATTTGCCTGTCTTATCTCGCTAGGATCGTTGGATTATAATACCATGACATGCTGGCATCATACTGCCCACCTACTGATACGACCATCGACAATAGATCGTGCCGCTATGCCTACGATTGATGTCACGGCGCTCTACTAGGATAATGGAACATCCAACTCATGGGTTCTACCTAGGTAGCTATTGACGAGAATAATCAACATGAGGAAGGAAGAAAGGGGGTGATGCTGTATTTATCAACAAAGCAAACAACTGCATCTCACGTGATAGCCAGCCAATGTGACCAGGCCGTCACAATTGATTAGGGTCGGTAGCGGCTGTGCTGTGGTACGCACACCGAATAGGCTCCCAGGCGAGGGATTTTGCTGAGGTTATGCTCTAGAACTAGGGATTGTGAATTGGATTCCCGCCGCCAACTTAACATCTACCACAAAATCTTTGAAACTACTAGCTCTGGCTAGCGCAGTCCTTAGATGCCTAATACACCTAGTTCACTGCCAACCAGCTTGAGCTGAAAAAGCAAGGAGGGTCTATGCTTTAAAGCTACACCCAAATGCCCTACGCAACCAGGCGGAACGGGGCGAGGAAAAGGATACGAACAGTCAAAGGCATAAAAAGGAACTAAATGCACTGAAATGTAGCTAATTAGATGCGGTCTGTCATAGCCCAAGGGGATCCATATGGACCTTAAACTTGAATGCAACAACAACAACAACAACTACTACTACTACTACTACTACTACTACTACTACTACTACTATTACTACTACTACTACTCTAACAAATCTCTCCGCGCATAGTCACGCTTTTGGACCGAATAGGCTGATCAAATGATTTACGATATATCAATCATTTAGGGGCATCAAAGACACTCCCCCCAAGGCGTTGCCGCCCCAAGGGATTAATTATGGGAGGGCGTCGAGGCATCCTATAAGGCTGATTCGACTAGTTCAGCCTACAAGAAACTCTTAAGATGAGAAACACGCATATATATGGCCCCCAAAGCATGCTGTTTATATTCTTCATTCCAGATCGCAATTCATCCAAGAAACCAATTCGATTTCTGTATTCAATATACAACATATTCAAGGCACCATAAATTCTCCAACGTCCTTTATTACTTCGATCTTCCTCTTTTTTTTTTTTTTTTTTTTTTTTTTTTTTTTTTTTTTTTTTTTTTTTTGCCTGGCGTTTGTCTCAGTCGGTAACGTCCTCGTCATCCCTCAGAGTCAACAAGTGAGTCAGCTGTTTGCTGACTTTTAGATGGTTCTAAAATTGAGGATAGGACCAACCGATCTGTTAATGGAAGACAAGGTGAAGTATCTATAGTATCAACCTCATAAAGAGAAGAGGAATAAACATCTGGTAATTGAGGCATTGTTGTCAATGAGATAAAAGGAAGGTAAGAGACTTATCCCAAATATGCTATAACTAAGAGAAAGTTATTCAATGGGATTTTGTATTCCAGACTATCACGGAGTACGGGCATTCACCAACAACGCAAGATGTTTGTATCATTTGGTCTGTTTGAATATAGGGTAGGAACCCCCTTCGCACACTAGATAGCGCAGCGCCGGCAGGCCCAGCTTCTTTCTTTCCTTCTCCATGTTAGTATTTCGATAGAGAGCCTACCAATAAATTTATATTGTTCGAGACTGTCACAGATAATCCGCTTGAAGCCTTCGAAAGATAAGATTTCCCGTATTGAATGTCAATTGATCGACTACATACCATGTGGCATTAAGAAAGCCCATTTCTGTCAAGGTGTACGGGAAGGGTTGCTGCTCCAGCAGCTAGTCCGGGTTGTCCGTCAGCGGAATCCACGTAGCTATGTCTAAAGAGCTTTCTTCTACAGCTGCCCTATACTCCACCAGTGCAGGTACCTTGTCATCGGCGCATGGCATCCCACATACCGATCGCACACGATTAGCATTGGTGTTCCAGGAAAGGTATGGAGGGGAACTTCCACCACAAGAGCGTGATTTCAAGCTGTGCTTAAGAATCTTCTCACCCGAAGGAGTGTGGTAGATAAGATATCTAGGCAAGCTGGGACTTGTTCTGGCTCAACTATATCCTACCAGAACAGTTGACCCTGCACGCCCTCGTGTGCTTCTAACTGCTCAATGGCTAAGTGACTTGGGGGAAAGGAAAAATGAATGGGGTATTGGATTAAAATTTCTGGTCGAAAAAGCTATGTTCGATCCAACTAGGCTCAAGAAAGAGCTAGGGCAGGATTTGAAAAAGACCCGTAAAGCGGGTAAGAGGAAGAACCGGGCTAAGGGGAGGGATGGCTGGGGAATGAAGGTCGAAGTCCAACTTGTCGAAGATAATACTTGATAGTTTCCAACGAATGTCCAGTGATATGCTACAACTGGGTAACGGACTATGTTCAAAAAGTTATTATGTATTATGAGTTCCTTTCTGCTTCATACCGCACCGATTATTGTCGAAAGCGGATGATCAGTTCATTGGTCATCTCCGATGTCTTCACAGGAAGACTGCCCTGGACAAAGTGCAAGTCCATAAGTGAACGGCTCAGCTTACGGAAGTACTAACCAGGCCATTATGTAGTTAGTAGAAACCACACAATGTAGTTATGTACTTGATGTTCACCCAAATACTTTATCGGCTTGAGCCGCTGGCCGAAATGCCAAGCCGGGGCTGGTCAGATGTGGGGTCCATATCTCGGTATTCGAAGCCGCTTCTGATTTCGTACGTATACGAACATATGCCCTCTTGGACGATTTATAGGGCCCAAGAGTATTGCTAGGGCTGCGGTTGGTATTGGACTTGACATCGGCAAAAATGCAGTTCAGTTTGGGAATGTACAGTGGACGGCAAGATATTCATACTCTGGCTCTGAGCGGGTAAATATCCCTCAAACTTATCCGCGGGGCTAAATTAACACTATATTGCCTGAATTGGGGATGAATTGGGGTCTCCACGGGGAACAACTACAGCTAACGTATTTTCTCCGACTATCGCAGGAGACTTTCCCCACGAGAGGCTTACTACTATATCCTAGCAGTAACGGGTTGTAATTGAGGTCAAAATGAAAATGAGGTCACCTGCGCACAACACAGGAATTGAAACAGGCAATTGGAAGCACCCGTTGACGATAACACCGCTTTGTTGACTGTAGATCATAATATGCTGTGGTTGCCGTCATCGGCGTGTGGAGGAATATATGCCTCATGGTCTGATGGCGAACCGGAGCAAAAACCAGTATACTAGACGACGGACTGGCCAAAAGGAACATTACCAATGCCGCGTGAGAGTGAAGAGAGCGTTTTCCATAGTTCAATTCCTCCAGACGGCAGAACTTCGGCATTGAAATGTGGGGTTAGTGAGGTCATTTTATGAGACAGCTGGCTCAGGGCTATCTCGGTGGTCCTTGTCTATCGTGTCCCGTTGTTATTTAAGCCTTTTAGTTGTGGTGAGACATCCGGCAAGAGGCCGAACCCCGGCTTTCCAGTCGGAGCCTCTTCGGCACCACGCGAGCCGGGGAAAGTAAACCCTGATGTGGGAATAAAGCATCGAATTACAGCATCACCCCAGAGGTTGACCGAGGAAAAAAATTTATATAAATGGATGAATTCCTGTTGGAAAGGAATCAGTTGATGCGGGCTCTTCGTCAGGGACTAGTAAATTGTACACCATGAAGACGGTGGATGCAATCCTCACAGGTTTGCTGCTGGCCTCCTCAGCGAGTGCCAGCACTTGCCAGGCCCCCAGCCCTTATACCGGCACACCTTTCAGCTATGTGCAGCCTCTCAACACCACCATTCTTAGCCCCTACGGCCACTCACCCGCCGTCTATCCTTCGCGTAAGTGCATACTAGACCAAATTCGGCCCTTTCCGTTCGACTGATGCTGACCCCCACCAGCAAAGACGACAGGTAACGGCGGCTGGGAGGAGGCAATGGCTAAAGCTAAGGACTTCGTCTCCCAGCTAACAGTAGACGAGAAAGCCTGGATGGCAACCGGCCAGCCTGGTCCCTGTGTGGGCAACGTCCTTCCTATTCCACGCCTGAACTTCAGTGGACTCTGTCTGCAGAACGGTCCGCAGTGTGTTCAGCAGGGTGACTACTCAAGTGTCTTCGTTAGCGGCGTATCCGCCGCTGCCAGTTGGGACCGGAACCTGCTCTATGATCGAGCCCACGCTCTGGCCAAGGAACACAAGGCCAAGGGCTCTCACGTTATTTTGGGCCCTGTTGGCGGTCCCCTTGGTCGCAGCGCCCATGGCGGGCGGGCGTGGGAAGGATTTGCCGCTGATCCCTATTTGACCGGGGTTTGCATGGAGGAATCCATTCTGGGAATGCAGGACGCCGGTGTCCAGGCAAACGCAAAGCACTTCATCGCCAACGAACAAGAGATACAGCGGAACCCTACCTACGCCCCCGACGCCAACGCAACAACCTACATCCAGGACTCGGTCTCCTCGAATCTAGACGACCGCACTATGCACGAGATCTACATGTGGCCGTTTGCCAATGCCGCTCGAGCGCGTGCGGCCAGTTTCATGTGCTCGTACAACCGGGTGAACGGCTCGCACAGTTGCCAGAACTCATATGTGCTGAACCATCTCCTCAAGAATGAGTTGGGATTTCAGGGCTATGTCATGTCCGATTGGGGTGCCACCCACAGCGGCGTTGCATCCATCGAGAGCGGAATGGACATGACTATGCCTGGTGGTTTCACTTTATACGGAGAGCTTTGGACTGAGGGCTCTTACTTTGGCAAGAACTTGACAGAAGCTGTGAACAATGGTACTGTGAGCGTGGACCGACTGGATGACATGATTGTTCGTATCATGACCCCGTACTACTGGCTCAACCAGGACAAGAACTACCCCAGTGTCGACGCTTCCGTGGGCCCACTGAATGTCGACTCTCCCCCGGATACCTGGCTGTATGACTGGAAGTTCACTGGCACGAGCAACCGTGATGTGCGCAGTAACCACAGCAGCCTGATTCGTGAACATGGTGCTGCTTCGACCGTGCTACTGAAGAACGAGAGAAACGCCTTACCCCTGCGCAAGAACCTGCGCAATGTTGCCATCTTTGGTAATGACGCTGGCCCCATCACCCAGGCCACTACCGTGCGTGGAAACTATCAGTATGGTGTCCTGGCTAATTCAGGATCTTCTGGTTCCTGTCGGTTCAGCACCTTATCAACGCCGCTCAATGCCATCAGTTCTCGGGCCGAGGAGAGTGGCGCAATTGTCCAAGTGTGGATGAACAACACATTGGTTATCGAAAATGGGGCGTCCGCGCTGTTGGACCCTCAGGTTCCTGATGTCTGCTTGGTTTTCGTCAAGTCGTGGGCTATTGAAAACGAGGATCGCCAATCCCTGGAGTTTGACTGGGATGGCAGTGCCATGGTTGAGTCTGTCGCCAACTACTGCAACAACACAGTGGTGGTTACACACTCAGCAGGAATCAATGTCATGCCCTTTGCCGACCATCCAAACGTCACTGCTATCCTCGCTGCCCACTACCCCGGAGAACAGGCCGGGAATTCCATTGCGGATCTGTTGTACGGCAACGTCAATCCGTCAGCCAAGCTACCCTATGTCATTGCATACAACGAGTCCGACTATAACGCACCGCTGACAACCGGTGTGGCAACCAACGGCACTTACGACTGGCAAAGTTGGTTTGATGAGGAGCTTGAGGTCGGATACCGGTATTTTGATGCCCATAACATTCCTGTCCGCTACGAATTTGGTTTTGGTCTGAGTTACACCACTTTCAACCTGACCAAACTTGTCGCCAAGGCCAACCATCCCAGCAATCTGACTACTTTGCCGGCACAACGCCCAGTTCAACCAGGTGGTAATCCAGCTCTCTGGGATACTGTTATCACCCTGGAGGCCCAAGTTGCCAACACGGGCTCTGTCGACGGTTTCGCTATCCCGCAATTGTATGTTCAGTTCCCTAAGACCACGCCGTCAGGCACACCCCCGAGCCAACTCCGCGGCTTCGACAAGGTTTGGCTGCGCGCTGGGGAGACCAAGACTGTCACCTTCGACTTGATGCGCCGGGATGTTAGTTACTGGGATACCACTGCACAGGACTGGCGCATTCCCACCGGTAGCTTCACTTTCAAGAGTGGCTTTAGTAGCCGCGACTTCAGAGCAAACACGACTGTCACTTTGGTGAAGTAGTCTTGTAAAATAGAGATGTGTTATGAGTTCTTATGTTAACAATGATCATGGTATATAGATGAATGAAATCTCTGGCGTTCTTTTTGGTCGAGTAGGGATATATCTTATGACTATGCTACTATTCAAAGAAAGTCGACGGATGAATGCGACAACCTAACGTGTCTCCGACAATATATGTATACCGAGGGATAAAGCTTTGTGCCGTGCTTTCAGAGAAAGCACCTAGTATATTCCATGGGTCTTTGTTATTGCCCCTAATTTATACCAACCTTTCAAACCCATCCATCTCTAATACTCATCTCTCATCTCACTACATCCTATTCCCTCCAAACTTCTTTCCCGACTTGACTTGAAATAGTCCTGGATGGAAAACTGACACGTATCGCCTGCCTGTGTGTGTAGCAAGGCCGTCAGCAACCCCTTTTCTTACAGTATTGTTTGTCAGGCAGGTGCACTTTTGGTTCTTATCTTTCAATGGTCGCCGCTATCACCAACTGGGTGCTCGATACAATCCAATCTTTGACAATGGCTCGACCGCGTACTCTCAAATTATGGTGTGCTGTTGCTGGTGATCTTACGCAGCCATTTTCTATAGGGTGTGTTGCAGAAAAAGGACAATATCGAGACTCAGGAAGAAGATTTAGGAAGAGATAAAGGAAGAAATCAGAATACAACAGCTCGCAACCTCAAGCTCTACAACCCTGTGTTACAACTTAACCATAAAGAGTTTAGGATTGATGATGATAAATTCCTACATCCAATCCACTCTTCCCTGAAAACAAGGATCCAGATGCGGATATTGTTGTTTTTGTGAGCGGAGGTGTCACTCCATCACCATTCCTGAGAAATGGGAAGAAGGAAGTATAATCTCCATCACTTATGCAAGCTGAAGAACTAACCCTTCCTTGATCGCCTTGATCATGTCTGCAGTCAATGGATCTTTCTTGGTGAAACTCGCTGCTTTACGCTCCTGACTGGAAAAGGTGGTAATGTCCAGGGAGTCACCACCAATCTTTGTCTTGCGGCGCCTACCATAAAAAGCGGCCTGGTTCTTACGCTCGTATGCCGTGAAAGCCGTCGCCCATTTCCAGGGGTCTTTCTTTGCAGTTGGAAGTTTGACATCGTTCTCCTCTGCCTCCTCCTCACCCTCGGCAATAATCTCATCAATATTGGACGGCCCGTACATGGCGATGTTATGTTTGCGGGTATATCCGAGCAGATAGGGCACAAAATTCTGTCCTTGATACGTCTTCGTCTTTGAGTCGGTGTCCGTGTTGACATAGCCGGCGGAGCGCACCTCATTGGCTTTGCTGGCATAAAATCCCATTATCAAACCGAGATTACGAATATTGGAGTTTGCGCCCAGAGAGTCCTGCTTCTCAAGCTCAGCGAGCATAGCGAGGAACATATGTTCAAGCAGGATCACTGTCTCTTGGACAAGATCCCCATCGTCAATCCTGTTAAGAGTTAGTTCACTGATTCGCAAACCAATCACCCCCTCCTCCCCCAACTGAGATAATAAGCCTACATATTCATGGGTACAAGCCAGTTGCCAACAAGTAACAACGCGAGCGCTTCACACACCACCCACCGCTCCTTCCAATTGCCCGAGGCTTCCTGGAAATCAAGCAGCAGATTCTGCGCCAGTTCGATCGCGCCGTAACCGGAATAGTCGTTGAAAATGTACATTGAAAAGGAATCCGGATCACGCAGATCCATCATGATGCGGTACGTGGTCAATTTATCCATGGCAGCCTTGGTAAACGTCCACGGATGATCAGGATGATCTGCAGCCGGCTTGCGACACAGACAGGTTTGGCCTCCGTCACACTCGATCGGTTGGTATTTCCCAATTCCACTCTCCTCTTCCTCGTCATATTCACCACCTGGTCGTTTGCAGACGCACACATACTCATATGCATCTGGAGTTTCCTTAAGGAACTTTTGATATGCCATGTCGGCATTGGCGGAGGCCGAGACAGCGGACCAACGCTTGTTACGAGGGATAGGAATACTCTCGGAAGCCATCTTGGCCGTATGAATCATGTGAATCAGATTGTGGAAAGAAAATTTGAGGTTGAGCAAGTCAAAAGAATATCATGTTGGTGATCCCCTGCAGTTTAGTAAGCCAACACACTGCCGGGACTCAGGGGTAGTTGTGTACGCAGCCCACTCGCGCGACCTGAAAAAGGACCCCGACCGACCTGTAACCACGGGGTAGTCTCCTCGCGCATGCAGCCAGTTTAACCAACTGATCTAGGACTCGTAGAAGTTATGGGGAGACACTTCTTTGTGGGACTAAAAGTGACCAGGTTTATTTTTATAGATCCGTATTCATGAGTAGTAGTAGTGGTGGTGGTGGTGGTGGTGGTGGTATGTATGTGTGTATATATGTGTACCTACTTGTAAAACCTCGCTATAAGCAACCCCGTTATAGGGGAGCCCCCGTTGTAAGCAATATGCAATCTTTTTTCAATTCTCTTATACATAATTCCTTATAACGAGTGATAGAAAAGCTAAATATTTGGTTCACCGCATTTCCACCCTACCACGAATTTTGATTAAGATGGCCAAACGAACTGCTATTACAAACCGTCAGCGATCCGCCTTCGTATCAGCATAAATTAAAGCCTTATTTAACTGGGATTCGGCTACAAAAGTGGTTTGAAGAGGTGTATAAGCAGAAGATCACTCCATCTATTATCTCATGGGCCCTTTCGTAAATTATAACTGGTTAGATACTGCAAAAGACTACCAGCTAGATGCTAAAAAGTATCGAGCAGAGAGTTGGCCAGATCTTGAGCAGGCAATATGAGTGGATATAGCAAGCAGAGACTCAGATTTCAGCATCTCAAGAGCTCATACGTGAGAAAGCACGCCAATTCTGGCCATCTCTCTATCCAGAAACAGAGATGCCTCAATTCAGCAATGGTTGGCTCCAGCGCTTTCAAATCGTCGAAACATTCGGTCAAATTCTCGCCATGATGAAGCAGGCAGTCTTTCTACAGATGCAGATGAGGAGATGATTAGTATTCGTCAAGTTATCAACAAATACGCGCCTAAAGATATCTTCAACTGTGATGAAACTGGTCTATGTTGGAGAATAATCCCTGATCGAAGTCTTACCACTTGTTTTATTCCTGGGAGGAGGAAGGATAAAGCACGAATTATTCTCCATTTTTGTACAAATTCTGACACCTCTGAACGCCTTCCTATATGGATGATTGGCACTGCAAAGAAACCACGTGTTTTCCAAGCAGCTGGGATCAATATTGAGAACCTAGGTTGCTATTGGAGGCATAACAAGAAGGCATGGATGACTGGAAAGATCTTTGAAGAATGGCTCTGTTGGTTTGATGCCAAAATGACTGGAAGATATGTCCTTCTTTTGATGGATAATTTCTCTGTTCATGAATCAGCTGTCAAAGAGGTCTCTTTACGGCTTCAGAATACTTTGATTGTGTGGCTACCAGCCAATTCAACAACAAAATATCAGCCTCTTGATCAAGGGATTATTCGTACGTGGAAGGCTTACTGGAAACGCTAGTGGCTGAGCTATATGATGGCTGAATTTGATCATGGCTATGATCCAATGGCTACAATGACAATTCTGAATGCTGTACGGTGGGTGATTTAGGCCTGGGGGGTAGATCTCTCTCAAAAAGTGATCCAGAATTGCTTTACAAAGGCTCTAACTGCCCAAGATGATGAAGAAATGGTAAATAACCAACTTTTTTAAAAGCTACAAGCAGGCCTTAATCAGCTGGCGGTATCAAATATCAAGGAGATCATGAAGATAGATGAGTTCCTGAACCCTGCGGAAGAGGAAGTCACGGATAATCTAGATGATCTGGATAGCCTTATCCTTAGTCAATTCAGCACTGAAGGCGCTGAATCTGAAGATAATGATGAGGTTTATGAAATGCTTCCTAAAATCTCTGCAAATGAGGCTTTGGAGGCACTGTATAAGCCACGATTGTTTGAAGAACAGCAAGCTGATGGGAACCGACACCTTCTTAAAGAACTTTTGCATCAAGAGCGAGCGTTGATAGAGAAAAAGATGAAATCAGTACCAGACTGATATTCGGACCTTTTCTTCATGAATGGAAGCTGTATTTACTGTATAATTTAGCTATATACAATATAACAGGCGCTGTCGACCAAATTCGCTAAGGAATGCCCCTCTATAAGGAATTTAGCAAGTGGTCTGATTTAATTGCTTATATCGAGGTTTTACTGTATTTTACGTCGGGCAGGTAGCCCTTTTCGGCCGCCTGCTAATTGTCATATCGCTAAATATAGAAAAGATATCACACAAACCAGATACATGTCGAGACTCCCACATAATACCCATACAATAATCATCCTTTCAGAGGAGATCACGGCAAATGCATGGAAATCTCCCCATACCGATAGAACACCCCATGTTCCTCACTGCTCTGATCCTCGTACTCCTCCTGATGGACCTCCAGGAACCCCTTCGTGGCAAGAGTAAGGACGTGCATAATCGCATGCGTAGCCACAGTTCGAGTCGTCTCCTTTGGCGGCAGAAGAGTCGAGAATGTAATCTCCTTCGCCCCGGAGACTTCACGCGGTGGAATTGAGAATTCTGTCATCCCTTCATCTCCGTCCTTCTGAGTCTCAGGGTCGTGTTGCTCCTGCATATTGAGCGCCTGCGCGTACATAAAGTCGAGAAAGTTCACGGTATCCTGATCGAGGGATGACTGGAGAACCTGTTCCTGTGAGTATCGCTGCTGGCTATCGGTACCACGGGTGCTGGTCCTAGCACTCTTCTGCGCGGAAGCATTCACGCCTTCGTCATTACGAAGCATGACATTTCCATCGCCATCAACATCAGCCTGTAAATAATGGCTCAGATCAAAGTCTCCGTATACGTCAATGTCTCCCTCAAGACCCTCAAGGCCAGTCAACGACTCAAGATCATAAGAAAACCCTCGACCAGCGAGGGGGCTCGCGCTTGTAAGTCGGCTTCGGGGTCTGCCGAATCCTGGCAGTTGGATACTCGCCGGCTCAGGCATACCACGAGACGATAACTCACTAACACTTCCGAATCCACGGAAGATGTTGGCGGATGAGCCGTGACGGGAGCTCTGGATTGAGGCAGTGATGTTCCAGGGCATCTGGGAGTTGTCGTCGCGAAGTGCGGGTGAGGCGTTACGGCCTATTTCAACTTCCTAGAGTTAGAGGTTAGATTAGTTTGAAAGATAATAGAAATGTACGAACATCACCACCACGCCCGACCTGGTCTTCACTTTCTCCCCTAGCACGAACTCGCCTTCCATCTTTATCAGAATCTCCTTCATCGTCATCCGCGCGATGTGCTCGCTTTCGCGCTTTCTGCTTTTCCTGCGGATTAAGAGCAGCACATAAATCATCGCCAGAAAACACCTGCAATGGGTGCGGCATCTGGGACGCACCCAAACCAACTCCCACAGAACCGATCCCTAGACCGAACACCCAGAATATGGCATTCTTTTTCGCCTGAACGGATATTTTATTGTTCTTCTTTTGCTTGAGTATAGCAGCCATGTTCTGCATGTATTCGTTGTTGATTTGTGCTAGTTCCGTATTGCGTAGAGCTGTTCGATTGTCTGCTGGTACGACTTTGGGTGCTCTATGGACCTGACGAGCTGTAACTGCTTGGTCGCCTTGATTATTCTCAGGCTTATAGGCTGGTGAATTTCCGAAGGGCTGTCTGGATCCAGCTCTAGCGGGTTGCATGGGAGTCACAACGTTGTGAGTATGAGTATCATGGCCTTCATCGCTGTCTATTGGCATTGGCTGGATGTCGTTAGCTAAATTCACTTCCTTTTGGTCTTGTAGGAAAGGAAAAGGCACCTGATAATCCCACTGGATATCATTATCTCCCATTCCAGGAAGAGGCGTCTCACTCAAATGCTTTCCACCAAACTGATCACGCAGGATGTTTGATCGGCGCTCACGCTCCCCAGAAAGCTCAATGATATTCCCATCCTCATCGAACTCAAAGTCGGGCTGCAGCAAGACACCAGTTTCATCATCCAATGCCCCCTCTGCAATCCTTCCCAGAGGTCTTTGGTGGACAGAGCCACTAGTCTCAGACTGCGAGCCAATCCCACCAAAGTCTTTCATTATGTCTTCAGATGAAAGGTCGAGTTGGAGATTGAGATTCTCCGGGAAAGTTTGGCTGCGATCCGGAGACCTGGTCCAGAGGAAGCTGTTCTGGCGGCTTGTGTCTGCTTGCGGTTCGAGGTTAAGCTTAGAGAGGTCGATTCCAAGTCCGGGGAGGTTGATTTCGGGTACGAAGGACGGGTCGTCGGAGAGGACGAGCTGGTCTGGTCTGTAATTCATGTTCAATAAGTATCAAATCTCAAAACTCAGGGCCGGACGAAGTTACCTCGCCTTTCCAGCAGCAGGATCCAGTCCTCCTCCAGGCAAGACCTTCAACATCGCTCTCATCTTATCGTGCGTCGCCTGCACATCAGTGAGAGTATAACCGCATTGTTGACTGTAGACTCTTGATACTCCGTACCTAGACTGGTCAGAATATTCTAATAAGCTTCTGCAAGGTGCTTACAACAAGCTCGACTGAAGTCTCAACGCCATCGGAGCTTCAGGGTTTATAATGACGTTACAAGCCCTAGGCACGTCGACATCCAAGATCGCCTTCTTGTTCAGTCTTTTGGCAATTGACTTCGAGCCCAATGTCGCCACAAGCCTGGGATTGACATCAGTTCTATAACTTCTTTGACTAGTGGGAACAGGAGGACGTACCAAATCGTAGCGACCCCATGCTCAGGGGAGGTGAGAACTAAGATAGAAGTAAAATAATTAGCAACCATGGCTTATTTGCTTCACTTGCAGTGCCAGATATGTCTCTTGCGGAGCTCCAGAAGTCAAAGGTGGGACTCACTATCATAACTGTAGAACATCTTAACTGTCTGACCCTCCTACCTGACGCGTCGCGTCCTATTTGTCAAACCTAGCACGCATTCAAGTATTGAGCAGAAAACTCGCGAGATTAAATACAAGGACGCGTGAGGAGTCGTTATCTCGTAGACGAGTTGAACTATTCGTCTCGTATTTCGAAGCTCGAGCCGTGTCTCACTGGCCATCAAATCATGGGTAAGTCAGTAGGTAAGATTCGACGAAGACATTCTTTCAGGAAAGGAGCTTAAAATAGAAACAAGATATGTACCTGTTCTCTCAACTGCAGCAGTGGTCCACGAAGCTGGACTAAAAAGAGGGAATGAAATTCCAGGAACCTCGACCCCAGGCGAGAAGCGGTCCAATTCACTTGGTAACAGCTCTATTTCTATAAAAAAAAACGTATCGTGATAAGTCTAGACGATAAACAAAATACTCGTTAAATGTCTCCCCGTGGTGGAGATGGAAAGGTAAGAAAGTTGAGATGAATGGTTGAAGGTGGGCGAAGGAGAAAGTGAGGTCGATAGGGTTGTTGTGCGGTGCACCACCCCAAATGCTCTTGAATTCACCCATTGTCCAATTACGTATTTTCCCATAAATATTCTGGGTTACAATACAGTGAATTTTCGAATAATTTGAATAACACCAAGTTCTTATCTAATATAGACGCCAGTAAATAAAAGGCAGGTTAAATAAAACATCATGAAGACATCTCAGTTGGCTATGGAAGAGCACCTGTAAAATAAGACATGACACAAAAATGTTCCCCTTATACAAATCTCCACAGCCCATAGCAACCGATAAAGATGCACGCAGGGTATGAGATGCAACAAAAAGAAAAAAAGAACACCCAGAATGGATTGAATCAGACATTTCGACTCCGAATTTTGCTCTTTCAAACAAAGGAAAGAAAAACCAAAAAAAGAAAAAAGAAAAACACGTGGGCATATTCAACATATTGCACAAGCCCTATCCTCCTACTATAACATGTCTATATAGCTGATCGCACCAGGAAATGGGTCTTCTAGTCGAGCGGGATACCCTCGTACTCGCTGTAACCAAGGGCCAGGTTCATGTTCTCTGTAAACGATAATTAGCATTTGCAAATAATCAAACAGAATGCACGAAAACTTACGGAGACATTGGGTGGCGGCACCCTTGAGCAGGTTGTCAATGGTAGCACAGACAACAACCCGCTTGCCGCTGGAGTGGACAGCAAATCCACCAACCTCAACACCGTGACGGCCAGCAATGTCCTTGACGAGAGGGGGCTCCCCAACAATCTTCACAAGTTTCTCACCAGCATAGCGCTCCTGGTAGAGGTTGCGGATGTCACGAGAAGTCATCTCCCGCTTCAGAGGAATGCTAATGGTGTGCTGGATAGAAAGTCAGCTCAAGAACTCAAACAATTAGAAGCATAAGAGGAACATACGTGAATACCCTGGAACCAAACAGCAACATGGGGAATGAAAGCAATGCTGGTGTCAAGCTGGGTGCTAATTTCGCGCTCGTGGATGTGGTCAGTCAAGCTGTAGGGGATGATGTTGTTGGTCAAGAAGTTAACGTCATTCTTCGGGCTAGGCTTAGTACCAGCACCGGAGTATCCCGAAACACCAAAAGCGGTAGGCTGGCCACCGAGGAAGGGAACCAGGGGAGCAATCCCGACTTGAGCAGCGGTAGCATAGCATCCGGGGTTAGAAATGCGGGTTGCCTGAGCGATCTGGGACCGGTTAACCAACTCAGGGAGACCGTAGGTCCAGTTGCTGTCGAAACGGTAGTCGGCGCTCAGGTCAACAATAACATTGCCCTTCTCAGAGCCCTGGTTCACAGCATCAACGAACGGCGCGCAGACACCATTAGGCAGAGCCATAACCCAGCAGTCCACATCACCGTTCTCCGACATACGCTTCACATCCTCTGGGCTCAGGTTCTCGTAGATGACCTCACGCTTTTCGTAGCCCTGAAGTTTCTTGCCGGCGAGCTCACGAGACGAGACATGGCGCAGGTCCAAGTGAGGATGAGCGTTGATCAAGCTGATGAGTGCCTGGCCGGTGTAGCCACGGGCACCAATCAGAGCAACCTTGGACGGCTGAGCGTTGGAGTTGTTCTTCTCACCAAGGGGAGGGTTCGGGTTCGTGGTGGCGTATGTCCGGGTGCCGTTCAAAGTCGGGCGGAAGGACGACCGGGCAGCGCGCAGGGCATTAGTGGTGGTCGAGAAGGTACGGGTCTGCTCGAGAGAGGCGGCGCTGGCGCCGACACCCTTGCCTAGCTTGGCAGCAGCCTGAGCAGCGCGGACGAGACGGGACTCGAGGTTGACTTCACCGAACATGTCACGGCCGTGCTTGTTGAATTCTTGCACCAATTGCTTGACCTCGTCCCCGTTCTCGATGCCGTACCAGAAGAGCACGTCTCCGTCGCGGCTCAAGCTACCATCGGCCTTGTCGAAGAACCAGGTCAGATTCTCATCATCTTCCTTGACGGTCCACGCCATCTTAGGGAAGTCCTTGCGGACGGCAGCGAGCACATTGTCGGCGACGTTGCTCAACCAGCCAGCCTTGGTGATGGTGAAGGTAGAGAGATGAGCCAAGGAAGAGCCTTGTTGAGGGGGCAGCGCCACGGCCAGTGCCTCCATGGGCTCATCATAGTATGCCTTGAACTCCCGCTCGTTAAGGCCGTCAACGTAGCGGTCGACGGTGGCGCGCGCATCCAGGCCCTCACGGTCCCGGACGAGAACGTCCTTGAAGCTCTGCAGATCCTCGAACTGCGAGAGGGCGGTCTTGGTGTGCACCTTGTTGCCACGGCGAATCAGAGTTCCAGCACCCGAGTCAGTGAACAGCTCCTTCTGCAGATCAGCCGGGTGGATGATAGCGACACTGGAGGAACGGGGCAGATCGTTGAGGAGGTCCTTCATCTCCTTGATCTTGAGACGAGTGCCGTGGCGCACCCACCACTGGGACATCAAGTGTTCGTATTCCTCATCAAGATTGATGGCGGAGATCTTCTCACCCGTGTCACCGTTGAACAGACCGCCCTTCTCAGCCAAGTAGACGATCTTAAGCGGCTGGAGGGAGCGTGCGAGCTCACCGGCCGCGACGTCTGCGTTGACGTTGAGAACCTGACCGTCGGGCGTCTCTGCCATGGAGGTCAGGATGGGGAGACATCCGGCCTCGATGGCGGACTCAATGGGCTTGCGGTCGACGCCATTAATCTTCCCCACCAGGTTGTATTTTTCCTTGTCAAGGTAGTCGGCAGAAAACACACCGGCCGTGAGCGGGCGGGCTCTCACTCCCATCCGTTCCAGCTCCTCGGTCAACTTCAAATTTTCCTCCATAAACAGCTTCCGAGCTAGCGCCAATGTCTTGCCGTCCGTTACCCGAATTCCACCCTCGAATTGTGGTTCAACGCCTGCCTCTTCCAACATGCGGTTCAGCTGGGGGCCTGCTCCATGGACGACGATGGGGTAAAGTCCCACATGGTTAAGGAAGGCCAAGGCGGACGAGAGGGTTTGCAGGTGATCGGTAATAATAGCACCACCGACCTTGATGACGGCGAATTGCTGTGAGGAAACCGAAGTGAAGTGCGAAAGGTACTGCTGAACTTCGCGCTTGGACCCAATGTTACTCAACAACTGAACGACAGTGGACCGAGTCGACGACAGCTGGGGATCGGCCGCACGAGAGTAGTGACGGTTCTGCAGCAACGGTGTCGCAGAGGCTTTCAGGGCATGACGAGAAGACGGAGAGCTGAGTCTGGCAGGAGAAACAGCGTGCGATGTAGAAAGAGCGCGGAGGGGCTTGCTGGAGGCTCTCCGCACGGCAGTGCGAAGCGACAGCATCTTGGTTATGTTGTTCTTCTCTTTCTTCTCAATTACCTAGCATGCGGCAACTCGATTAAATGAAGTGTCGAGTAGGAGAACTAGGTGAATTGAGAGAAAAAGATGTTAGAAAAGAGGACTGTGTGTGGGTTGAGGTTGAGTGGCGGGTTAAGAAGAGGTTCGGAAGAAAAAAAGACTTTAAAGTGCGGAGGGAGCGGGATTATTCCCACCAAAGGGAGCCCGCGATAAGCCCGTGTTTTCGGCCGGAGATGTTGGTGCAAGTAAAAATCTTGGAGACAATTACGTTCATTCGGGAATTTTATAGAGTATTTCACTCACCAGAGACTCTCTTCTTTTACGCGTGTTCTCCTTCTCCGTGGGAAATTCCCTGGGACCAATGCGAGGGCTGGTGGGAGAAAGGAACGAGACCCTGGCGCGGTGCCTGAGTGTCAATTAGTAAAGAGCGTGGAATGGATTGGTCTTGTGAAAAAAAGGAACAAGAGGAAGAGAAGAAGAAGAAGAAGCAAAGAGTAGGGAAATAAAAAATAATATAAAAATGTCAGTGCTCGGTTGCGACTTTCGGAGCCGGGCACGATGTGACTCCCACGACGTGACTCAATGGGAGGGGGGTTTAAACAAAGTAACTTCTTCTAAGGGCAGAGTAGAAAGCAATGAAAACATCTTATTCTAACCCAAAATTAAATACGGTCTCATTATAACTCAACTACAATGCTCCTACAAAGACAGAGTACCCCGTGCCACTGCAGTGTGTACAAAGTAGCACTTCATATCAGATGGCCGCCGGCACTCTCATTTGCTCTTCGATCCCACTCACTTTCAGAACCCCCATCGGGCTATGAATTTTTCGCCGGCAAAACTAGTCCTAATTCATTATCAGATCTTCCCTAGCTATTTAGCTACGTAATGAGAATCACGGGTATTAATCAACGCCAAACTCTCCACTTTCTTCGCGCGGAAGTTGGCCCGGCTAAGCTACAACTATAAAGTCTCCGAAGCGAACATCAAGAAGCTCCCGTTTACATAGTATGATTTTGCTTGGTTTTCTTCACTTTCAATACGCTCGCCTGTTTTGTTTCTTTTATTTTGTCGTCATGTAATCTTCAATTGAGCAGTGGATGAAGGGTTCTACTGTAAAAAGACCGGCAAATGGGGGTTTTTAGAGTAAAAAGATGGTAATATTGGCCTCGCCTCCTCTTACTGAAGTACCTATGAGTTCCTCATCAAAATGAATCAAGTCAAAATTTCACCTATCATAAGAGATACCCATATTCACTGTTTAAACTATCATGAGTTCAGCATGTGGGGGGCGATGTAGGTATTGAATGAGCTTCCCATCAAGCGAAGGCTCACCTCCGGACCCAGTCGATATCTTTTTTTTTCTCTCTCACCCCATCACAGCTTCATCAGAATACCCCATTACCCTCCCCCCCAGAGGTATACAACTATCACCACTACTACTACTACTACTACTACTACTACTACTACCACCACCACCACCACCACCATCCATCATGGCGGACGCGCCTGCGTCGTCTGCAAAAACCAGGGCGCGGATGCCACTCCCTTGAAGTGCGTGCTGCCCAAATGTAAGACCCAGTGGTACTGCTCTCGCGACTTCCAGAAAGCATACTGGAAAGTCCGCAAAGCGACTTGCGCTAAGAATGCGAGTGAGACGTCTGCTCCGAACGCCAAACACAAGCGAGCACCCCCACGAACACTGCAAACACTGCGGCTCTTCCAAGAATCTCACCGCGGCTGTTGAAACCCCCTTCCATCGCCTTGAAAGCAAGATATAGCTCATTAGATTCGGAGATCGAGTATAGGGCAGTATCTACTTTGCACGTGTAAATGATAGTCAGGTGACACCGGAGCTTAAGCTTTAGATTTTCACTGTCTTTTCCATCTCCCTCCACCCATTTACCAATCAACCATGAAAACCAGCAAGAAAATTGGCCAGAAAGCTATTTCTATTCGACCAAAAGAAACCCCCGAAAGACACCCCCAAAGTGACCCTAATCAAGCATAGTCAATACCTCCATCTCCCTCACCATACAAACAATACTAACCACAAACAGCAAGATGATAAGTCTTTCAATCCCTTCCCTTGGAACTTCACTCCAAAATGGCCCCTGGCTCACGCAGAATGCATTCATGAGCTTGAAAGGGTAGCCTCATTTCACAAGTCAACTTTTCAGAAGGATAGAATTGCTACAGTAATACATTGGCACTCCCCAATTCGCCCCTAGTGAGATATGTCCGCAAGGTTTTGTTTTCTTTCATAAGGGGAAGATGATTGAAGAGTCGGGGGTGCGGCTTGAGGATGGTATTTCATGGCTAGTGGTAAGTGGATTGTGTTGCTTTATGTGGTATGTATTTGTATTCGTTAATCACTTTGATAGGGTTGTGAGGATGAGGAAAGAAGTCTCTCATCAGCTGACCGACGAGCATACTTCCTTGCGAAAGCTAAGCCCATTCAAATCTGATACAAGCTAGATGTCTTCAAAAAGCGGTCAAAAACCGCTATCCCCACTCTGCATTTCCTTCGTACATATCAGATGGCTGTCGAAGCTCTCATTTGCTGTGGCCAGACCCTCTATTATTATAACGGGTCCAATATTTTTTTTTTTTTTAAAAAAAAAAAAAAATGATTGTCATTCGTTACTCGTTATTACTACATAGCTGCCATGCAGAAAGAGAAGTCGAAGATCTGATAATAATATAAATGCGAGATGAGTTCACTTGAGACGCCGGTCTCTCCACTCATTGTCCGGTCTATGCGATAGAGCTTCGAACTGGGGTGTGGTCTACGCGATTTTGTCCGCGGCTATCCCGTTTAGACCAATAAATCATGGTTTAAATAATAGCAAGTCCCCATCCAGGGAAAAGATAGACATGCTTCATTAAAAGAGGCTGTAGGAACAAGATCGAAGAATACAAAAGCACACGCAAGACACAGAAAACCGTACTGAAACACGAGAAAGCAGCAACAGCACCGGAGTATCATTTACATCTTCACCCGTCGACAGATCGTGACATGGATAATGCGAGAAGCCGGACCAGCTTGTACGTATTGTCGAAGGCATATCGAGGATTGAGGTCGTGAGAATAATAAAACAGAACAACAGACCGTTGACGCTTGTTGGAACGCGTGGGTAGAAAAGACGAGCAGGACGAGGTATTGGAGGCTGACAAAAGAAAAAGAACAAAGGAAAAAGGCTCCACGGCTTCGGATTACCGAGACCTTATCGTAGATGACATCCACTCCATTAAAGGCAGAACACGGTATTTAATGTTTAGTTGCGATAACTAAAGCTCACATCAGCAAATTACCCGAGCAAACTGAGGAGAAAAGTCTAGTCATACCGGAAGGGACGATAATCACGACGAGCAGAACAATGATGCAAATGACCAAGCATACACGCATCTTCATGTCCTTCCACCACATCTGTTTGCGCACGCGGTTGGCACCTCTGCGGAAGCCCTGCGCTGATACCGCCAGGTTGTCCGTCTTGTCCTGAAGAGAGTCTAGACGCTCACCACGTTCCGAAACACCGACGATGTTCGAACGCATCGCACGGATCGTGTCATCGATTTCCTATCGCAGGAATATAATATTAGCGCCATGGCCCATCAACACCAATAAAAATCCAATCCTTATCACAGGGCAGCAGTACTCACCCTAGAGACCTGCTGCGTCTTCGGGTCACCACCATGCTGCGTGGTGCCCGCGGCACCGGCACCAGCACCGGCACCACCATTCGAGCCAGAGGGGATGTAGGGGTCGTAAGGTGGCTCGGACATTTTCGTAAGACGTGAGAAATCGCTTTTGGACGTTTTAAAGTCGAACAATTATGACGTGGTGTAGATTTTTCTTTTGAGATCGGGATGTTATGAACTCGTTTGGGCGATCGGGGAGAAAAGCAGGGAGAAAACAGGTGTATCAAATGCGGATCGTAAGATGGATGCAAAAAAAAAAAAAAAAAAAAAAGAGCTCGATAATCACCGGTCCACGGTTTCACGAGAAAAAAGGAAACCGCAAAGGTAGATGTAAGTGGGTAGGAAGGAGAATAAGATGACGGGTGAATAGGTTGTCGTGGTGAAATCGCCGCCTTCTTTCTGGGGATGGTCTCGGTTCCGACGGGATTCACGTGATCTTGGGCGCGGCCAAGAATAGCAGTGCATAGGCAGCGCTATTAGCTGGTTCGGCCAATCAGAGTGTGACCATGAGAGCGAATGTTCCATTTTACTACTAGGCGGTTACAGAGAAGTCTCAGGGAGCAATAGGGGTCGTCGGCTCTACTGGACGGAGTATAGGAGAATAATAGCCGGTTGCTCATAGTATATGATAGTCTAGGCTACAAGAACATAGTCCTTTAAGCAAGCAGTATCCTAATCGCATTCAATCGCATTCGTTTTGGCGGTCGCTCCAAAGACGAAAGATGATTCCAAAATTGGAAAGAACGAGGCAGTGCAAACAAGCCACCGCCACAATTTCACGTGCTAGCGATCAACAAGCGTGGATCCTGTCAGTGGGATTTTCAGGCGGAGATTCAACGCTGATTCCGTTTATTGATTGATGGTCGATAGAGATCTATGCATCATGACTGACAAAATTAGGTCTAGATATATGACACTGATTAAGTATGCAGGACAAGACCCGGGGAACACCATCCCACTTTCTACGGTTCGTGCTAAGCGCTCTCTCTCTCTTTCCACGGTCCATTCTCCGCTGTCATGGAGGGACAATTCCTTGTTGATCGTCGCCATCTTTCTTATCCAATGCGGCTGTTTATACCCCGCGTCCTTGCTACACTAGTACATTCCCATCGCAAATAAGACAAATGACCTCTCCAAAATGACAGTTTCAATCCAGTTCTCCGATGCTTCCGTTCTCTTTCCTATAAACAGCTCCAGCCAAGACCTTGGCCTGGCGCTTTGCCGAGCATCCACTGGATTCCAGAGTGTATTTGGCCGATACTGTCACCACCAACCAAGGGTGCAAAAAGGAAACGTGAAAATAGTAGGAATACATTTCATTTAACTGTGAAATAAAAGGGCATCTCTAGTCCTCTTCTCTTCCATTATGGTGTTCGCGTTACGTTCTTCATTTCAGGCGTTGTGCTACATCCACTCGTTCTGTCACCATCTTGATTGCTTTTTTTTTTGAGGCCTGAGGGTCTTCAAGGCTGCCTGGATCATTTTTCTTCTTTTTCTTCAGGAGTCATCTCCATCATAATTATTCGTTCATCAGCCTCCTCTCGTTTCTGCCTTCGTACTTAATCATTTCCATATTGTCGCTCATTTCTATTTATACATATCCTCAATCCTAAACATTCGTTTCTCACTATGAAGTGGTCGAGGTTATTATCTTTACCCCGTCTTTCTCTCTCCCGGAGCAATTTCATATTGTTTGGGACACTTTTGGGATTCCAGCTGGCGCAGGCGTCTATTAGCTTGGATATTGACAATCAAGGCACGTGAATATGGCCCTCCTCTTCTTCTAACGCTGCTGACCATCGCAGATTCTCTCAAAAATGCCGCCCAAACCGCAGCGACTGGAATGTTACAATATTACACTGGTTACAAGCTAGGTGATGTCCCCGGTAACCTTCCCGATCCTTACTATTGGTGGGAAGCGGGTGCCATGTTCGGAGCGTTGGTGGAATACTGGTACTACACGGGAGATTCGCAATGGAACGATATCACTACCCAAGCTCTGCTGCATCAGACCGGTTCTGGTAACAACTTCATGCCCACGAATCAGTCCCGTACACTAGGAAACGATGACCAGGCCTTCTGGGGCCTGTCCGCCATGTCTGCCGCCGAAGTACGATACCCGAACCCACCAGAAGACCAACCTCAATGGCTAGCGCTAGCCCAGGCCGTCTTTAATACCCAGGTTCCGCGGTGGGATGAACAAAAATGTGGCGGTGGGTTAAAATGGCAAATATATTCCTTCAACGGCGGCTTTAACTACAAGAATACCATATCTAACGGATGTTTCTTCAACCTGGCCGCCCGTCTTGCGGTGTATACCGGCAATGAATCATATGCGGCCTGGGCTGAAGACGCTTGGGACTGGATGTTTGGTGTTGGACTTGCTAGTCGAGACTTCCATTTCTTTGACGGTACAGACGACACGAATAACTGCAGTGAGGTCAATCATATCCAATGGTCATACAATGCAGGTGTCATGTTGCTTGGTGCGGCCAACATGTACCATTTTGTAAGTCACCCCTTTCTCTATTGTTGTTTGAATGCAGTTTGTTACTGACACTATGAAAGACAGGTCAAACTGACGCTTGGAAATCTCGTGTGGAGGGGATCATCAAGGGTCTAGATTATTTCTTCCCCGACGGTAAAAACATCATGAGCGAGGTTGCCTGCGAGACCCAGGGCACTTGCAACGTCGACCAGCGCTCTTTCAAAGCCTACCTCTCCCGCTGGATCGCTGCCACGGTCCAAATAGCTCCGTTCACTCATGATATGCTCATGCCCAAGCTGCGCGCCTCTGCTCAAGCTGCCGCTTTACACTGCAATGGTCCGAACAATGCCTGCGGGCTACGATGGACTCAAGGCGCTGACTACGATGAGAGTACGGGAGTTGGGGAACAAATGGCCGCGATGGAAATTTTTCAAACGAATCTGGTCGACTCCGCGAAGAAGCGCGTTACTGCAGACCACGGCGGCATCAGTAAGGGTGATCCTGATGCGGGCACGGAAAAAGACGACGATGCGTATATTGGAGTCCTTGATGATCCGATTACCACCACTGACCGGGCGGGAGCTTGGATTCTCACAATCTTGGTTATTCTTGTGACATTTGCTGGCGTTTATTTCATGGCTACATAACCGATCTGCATTTTTTTTTTTTTTTCCATCTTCTACTAACTTTGGTTATATGTATATAGCTTTATGCGTTGTCAAGGCGATTTACAATTGAAATGATATCCGGCCTTTTTGTTTACATTATAGAAGCCCATATAGAACTCAATTTTCAGAATATGCTAATTGCATACATACAAGTAACGTCGTTCTGCAAGGGAATACAGAAACAGCAACAGATCATCCCAATGTCGATCACGTGGATCCCATAAGGCTACTGGGTATTTAAATACCATTTATTTCAGGCACCAATGCTGTACCTGGGTACATACAGTAAAACCACTTGTACTTGTACTCGTATTCGTATACGGAGTACCATACGCGGTACTCCGTACTCCAGTACAGTAATACGCATCAGTAGTCGACGTCAGATATATATCTAGATCTCACTACGGAGTATATGCACACTACTTGAGAACACAACCTATGGCACAGTTATTTCGGTTTTATGGTAGTTCGCACTGCTGGACAAGGCGGACAAGGCAAATAGATAGAGCAAACACACGGCGACACGAGATTGGCGGGGGCAGTGCTGCAAGTGAGGTCGAATAAGCAAGCCATGTGCACGCGTTATTTGTCTTTGGGGATAGAAAATGTTGGATTTGGCATGATATATTTACACTGGCTAACTATTCCCTGTGTTCAAATAATAGACTTCGATAATTTATGTGTAATTACTCGTTTACTTTTACTACACTGCACGTGGATAGCTGTGTTATTGATGTATTGATGTAGATGGAAGACGTGATGCACGGTAATGATAAGGAACCTCGACCACACTGCTATTCACACTTGATGAATGATGATGTATCTGAGCGGTTAGGTGCATTGTCCAGCATATGATCTTTAGTTCAATAATTGATGTTGTTTACTCCGTATGCTATTCTTGTGTCCATTCGACGAGTACAGCGCATCTGCCGCGCGGTAAGTTGATGCCTGAGGCTGCAGAACGCGTTCATAACAACATCAGTGGTTAATCATTATATTTAACAAACAATTGAATCAATGTAAGAATCCATTGAAATAAATAGAAAGAAGCAAAATACACGAAGATATACTACTAAGAGAAATAAGTGTAGACAGGATCAAAATTACGCTGGCGGTAAGACCCGGTCCTGCTCGCGTAACTTAACCGCCACTGTCTCGTCTCGTCTCGTTTCGTTCTGGTTTTCTTCCGTTTTTCTTTCCCGCCCGCTTCTTCCCTTTTTTCTCCCTTCCCAGAAAAAAACGAGAAAAGCGTTGAAACGCCCATCGTCCCTCTCACCACATCGTCCCCTTATCGTATTTTTCCGTTTTTCATTGCGAAACCGCCATCATCTCGTCTCTACTCCCCACTGCATCCCCTGGTCCGTCCAGTATCGACTTTTTCGACTCTGTTACCGCGAACATGGGTCGGACGGTCGACCAGGAGGTTCACGCGGCGTTTGTCGAGTTCCGCGCCAAGGAAGACGATAAGGTGCGTGACCTGCTGTATTTCCCCCGTAATATTTCAACGAGCCCGCCACTTGTGCCTATACCGAGTACACCACCAATAACTTATCTTACTTGTTACTGACATACCATCCTGTTTTTCTGTTACCCTGGTACAGTGCCTTTCCGTTCAGTGTATCTACTGTCAACAGATTCGCGCAAAGAACACCTCGCGTCAGAAACAGCATCTGCTCGAGTGTCCGGGTCTCCGTGGCCATCCTAGTGCGCCTCAGCCGCAGTCCCAATCTGCCCAATCCGCCGCCAACGGTATCAGCGCTGCAAATGGTTACCCCCCAACGCCAAATGGACCTGCCGCGGCGGCGGCGGGTGCTGGCCCTGGCCCCGGAGCCGCGATGCCCACCGCTAATGGTGCCATGATGTCGAACGGTGTCAATCCCCATGCTACGCCGATGCAGACTCCGCTGAACATTGCCGCCGGTCGTGGTACCCTGTCCACGCCTGGTGGCCCGCCTACCGCTGGCCCCGGTTCGTCCTCCGGCACCCCCCAGCAAGGTTCGCGTCCGACTCCCAAACCCAAGCCGAAGACATCTACTTCGAGTCTTCCGGCGCCGCCGTTGGATGATGTTCATGCCGCCTTTGTCGAGTTTCGTGCCAAGGAGGAAGACAAGGTAAGAAGAGGCTATGGTTATGGTCGGGAGTTCAGTAATTTGACCGGGGAATCACAGTGTCTGTCCGTCCAATGCATCTACTGTCAGCAGGTTCGCGCGAAGAACACCAGCAGGCAACGCCAGCACTTACTTGAATGTCCCACCTATCTTAGCGTTATGAAAGATTCGATCCCGGCCAACAACCTACTCCATACCTTCCCCGAGGGTGACGTCGCTCGCTCGCTACAGATTCCCGCTCCATCTCTCGAATTGGATTTCCGGATGAGCATCAAGATGAATCCTCGCGTTTCGGTAGGACAAAGCTTGTGGGGCCAAAGGGATTGGGTCTCTTTCCTTGGTGGTCAGTGGGCTGGTCGATGGGGGAAGGGTATTATCCTGGTTTGTCTCCATTTTATTTTACCCTTTCTATACCCGTTGTAGTGTACTTCTAACAAATTCATCAGCCTGGAGGGCAAGATTCCCAAATCATCACCAAAGATTCCGTGACGAGTCTCCGAGCAACCTACATGCTTCAAACTGCGGATGACCCGCCGGCGTATATTATTGTGAAGACAAATGGGTGGTTAACGGGCTCTAAGGATGTACTTGATAAGGTTAATGACCCAAATATGGCGGACGCTGTTAACCCTAACACCTATAAGTATCGTGTGAACCTCTCTATGGAGACCGGAGACGACCGTTACGCTTTCCTGAACACCCTGATGTGGATCGGCAGCGGTTGCCGCAGAGGTCATGAAGGTCAGTACTTGCCACTATCTAATGCACAATTTGGCATGCTAACGGCGCACAGTTATTTTGGATTGTTTCCGCGTCAATTAGTTTCGCTACGTGATTGCAGCATGTTTTTGTCCGGTTTTTAAGCGAGTGATATTCGTCGTTTATGGGAAAATTGGGTTGTTTATTATTTCATCCCTCGAGATTTCTTAGGTATATGTGGTACGCCTTGAGTTGATTTTTTTTTCTTTCTTTTGTTCTACAGCAACCCTGCCCATTTGCCCTTGTCCTGTTCTCTTGCCTGGGTCATGGTAAAGTCCAGACCGTGCAATGTCCCCAGTAGGAACCGAGTTCGTTTTCCTCGTGGAGTGCTTACCCTTATGATATACTACTGCTATTTTCGCTCCCAAGACTCTTTCTCTTTTATTGTCAGGTGAAGATCTAGCTGTTTCAGCCTCTACATTGTTCATATTGATTCGATTATATTCCCTAGTTGTTATCTCCCCTTTTTCGCCTTGTCTCTTTTTTTGAGTGCAGCCAGCCACGGAGATATCCTATAATTTTGTCTTGTTCAGTGGAAATATTGATCGATCTGCTATATGCGTTGATATTGAAATTTGTGTTACAATTGCAACTCCCAATGCGATAAGGATAATACTGGTGTTGTTTATATCAAAGCGGTTAACGCCATAATTGCAATCGATTGTGCTACTTGCGATGAGGGAAGGAAATTGGTTATCTCCAAACCTCGAGCTTACCACTAATATCGACCTCGGACTTACTTCGAGAATAGATATACAGCGATGTATTGTCGCTTAGATCAGTAAACAGACTAACTAGAGTTTCATAGATGCGTCTGTATGTACAAGGTATGTACTCCGTACAAATACTCGTATGTACCTGTATGTAATACTACCGTTAATTTCCATTACGGCTTGAATCAGGTACAGTAAATACTGGTAATCGTGTGGTGGTATTTTCACTGGTGTTGGGTTACATGGTTATTTACGCTTAACTCATTTAAAGAGTAGTATGTTATTGTTTTACTAAGGGTATGGGTTTTGTAAGTTCTATACTACAGGGGATGCTGTATTTGACTACCGTCACGTTCGTTCGTGTTACAATGGTTAAACCGAGTTATGGCAGCGAAAGATCTAAATCTATCAATCTTATCTTGCTATTCATTTTCCCTGTTCAAAAGCCTGCAACAACCAAGTTAGTTTGATCAAATTGATACCTTTAAAGAAGGGGGGGAACTCACCCTTCTCAGTATTCCCCTCACCCATACTCTTACTACTGCTGCTACCACTCTGGATAGCGCCCAGGATGCCATCCATGTACGGCGCTCCACTCCACTTCTGGTGCGTCAGGACGTCGACGCCGAGTTCCTTCTCGCGAGACTGGATCTGACGCACGTAGGCGAGCATGCCCTCGTCCTTGAAGGCGCGGGAGAGCTCTGTTGTGACAGTGGCGTTGGTGTGGAGGCCGGCGAGGGAGATGAGTTGGAGAACGAATCTGTTCTCGTTATTTGTCGCTCTTTGGTGTGTTTGGATGAAACTTACCCATGCTTAGCAAGATCCCAAATGAACGACTTGAGAGAAGCCTCATTGAATCCTTGACCCATCCAGTTGAACGACGGGCTCAGGTTGTAGACAAGTTTCTTACCCGGAAACTCGCTGCGCACTTCTCCAGCCAGTTGGCCCGCCTTGGCGACGTCCGGGTCGCCGGTTTCCACCCACAGGAGGTCGGCATAGGGTGCGAACTCACGTGCGCGCTTGGTTGCGGCGGGGAAGCCGGCGCGGTAGTGGTAGAATCCTTCGCGGGTGCGGGGGCTGTCGCAGGACCAGACGACGGGGGCTTTTACGTAGTCGTTTGCCAGGGCTCGACGGCGGGAGAGGGAGAGGTTGGGGTTCTCGGCGACCTTGGTCTTGTATGCTTCACGGGTTGATTGGGAGGCGCCTTCTGCTTCAAGGTGGGCGTCGACAGCTGAAAGAAATTAGCGTGGGTTGTATCTAGTTTTCTGGGGGTATATTACCCTCGTCAAAAGTGACCAGTTTGTGCTTCTTAACCCAGTCCAGTTCGAACGCATCAATTTCTGAAGGAGCAGCTCCCTCTCGTTCCATAGCCTGGAGAGTCTCCGCCAGAGGCTCAACGTCTTCCGTAATACCAAGAATGAACTCGTGGTCGCGCACGTCAATAGCACTGCTGATCAACTTGCCACTCTCAGAGTCCGTTCGTGCAATCACAAGGTTCTCAACGCCCATCATGTCCCACTGGAAGCGGGTAGCAACGAGCCGGTTAATGTGCTCTGCCATTGGAACAAGGACCTTGCCTGCCAAATGACCGCACTTCTTTCCACCGTGAAGCTGGTCCTCGAAGTGAACACCAGCAGCGCCATTCTCGGCGAAGAGCTTCGCCAGTTTCATCACTGCGGTCAACCCACCATGTCTAGAGCAATCGATCAGCTACTATATCTCGTCTGCTATAGTAGTTGGGATAGCTTACCCAGTATCACCGTCTGCGATAATGGGTCGCAGGTAGTCAACGTATGCGGTGGACTTGCGCTGCTCTGGGTTAAATTTGCGTCTGGCATCGAATTGCTTCCGATCATGCATTTGCTGAGCTTTGAACAATCGCTGGACCTGGTTCGGCACTGTGTTGTAGGGGTAGTCACCAAAGTCGGGGGAGACCTCGTTGGTTGTTGTCAAGAGAGAAGAGCATGCCCAGCCAGATATATACAAGACCTCCTGGTTTGGGGCTTGCTGTGTCATTTGCACAGGATCAATGGCACCCACTAAGATTCAAACCGTTAGAATATCGTCCATGTCCCCAACTATTCAATCCAAGTTAACTCACTTGTATGAACCGGCAGTCCTTGGGCAGCCCGCTCATTCAACAAATTAAACAGCTTCCGCGCCATCAACGAACTAGGATATGTCTGTTGCAACGTCCCGCGCTTGCTAACCACATCCGCGGCCGAGTATGGTCGCTTAATCCCCTCATACCGCGGGGACTTCCACCACGCCTCGACGTCTTTTATCTGTTGCTCGTAGAAAGCGTCTTCAGCGGCACCGGCTTTGTCAGAGCTCGACAGCAGCTGGTATGAATCACCCGGTAAGACGGTGGATACGGGGGGCTCGACTGGGGGGAGCGGAGACGACATCCGTGGATAACCGCAAGCGAAAGATCGCAGAGCGAGGCGGGATGGACTGCCAGCAGTCAAGGGAGAGAACGTTAAAAGGCGTCGCGGAAGTCGACGAGGAACTGATCGAAACATTTTTGTTGTCTAGTATACAGGTGTAATTGGAGAGGAGGAAGAAAGATGGTGGCGGAGGTTGTTTTGGGGAGACGTCCCTTTCCCCCGCCATTCGGGCCTCGGTCTGGGGGTTCGCTCCGTTATCCGCGTACTTTGCGGAGTACTTGTAGTCTGACAGCATGACAGGAGCATAGAACGACAATCCCGGATATTATATCAGTTTATTATGTATTGTGTAACTTTGAATTGCTATGCAGTAGCCGATAGCTTGGTCTAGAACACTATGGCATGCCTGTAAAACATAAACAGTGCATCCCGCATCCGTTCTAAAGGATAGGGGAAGAACAATTCCTCTAGATCTAAGCTTCAATTCGGTATATTTCTCTCTCAATTTACTCATCCCACTCGGACCACCGGTAGTCCTCGTTATGTGTTGCGCTAGCCCTTATCTGAGGTACCAAAATGTATCATCCCGTCGGACATCTCTACAGGGAAGGCGTCGCAATGTCACGAAACTCTTCGAACCCTCTATCGTCAATCAAAACTATTAGCAGAGGTCCCAAGGAGCCGGACAGATATGTGGTCCAGTGATCGAGGCACTGAGCTATGCAAGACAATGCAGTTACCAACACCCACCACCTGGCCCATCATCATTTATATAGAACCGTCTGGAACCATCAGAGCATAGACCAAACAAATCGTCCAATTTAAGCGGTTTGCAGCAAAGTAAATGCCATGGAATCTCGGGGATGGAAAACTCGTTATGCTAATGGTGCTGTCTTATCTCATCGTCGTCCACGTGTGGTGAGGTTGTCTCGGAGGGTAAATATAGTAAAATACTTGTATGCAACATGTCAGAAGACCGAATAACTCATCGAAAACCTTACTTGCTGCTTACTTGGAGTTCTGTAGAGAAATGCTAATGTAATGTACCGCCGGAAAGTGTGGGGAGACCATGTGTTTGGTCCCGTGACCACCGAGTTGTATAGCTTCACATCCAGTACATTATTGTCTATTAATACACTAGAACGAATAATATTACAGGCAATACAACATTCAAGAAGTACGCTATCATCCTGAATATTTCTGCTGGCTCTCGTTTCCTGTTGTGGAACCTTGCTCTTCTCCCCCGCGGCTTATCAACTGTTCCTTCTCTGCTTTCTCCTCACGCGGATGCATGGGTACATGATTGATCGAGGAACTCCTCCATTATCTATCTGTCCCTTCTATCTCGCCTCGCTTATCTCTTTTGTCCCCATGGAGTTTTTATAGAGATATTGTGCGGTGGTTTCTCTTTCTATCTATCAATAACTCTTCCTCATCTTATCCTTTCGTGTTCACTCGGCGTCCCCTTCCAATTTCTATGCGATCTCCAACTCTCCAAGCACTGGGCATGGAAAGCATCAAGATTCCGTCCCCTTCGGCTATTCTGGATATTCCCTCATCTTCCCCTCCTTCTGTTCCTCCTGCTGTTACCACTGGTGGTGGTGTTGGTTCTTCTTCATCTTTCCCTGCCCCTTCTATCTCCTCGTCGGCTCCTCCAGCCAGATCATCTCTCTCCGCAGCAAGGACGGGTACGGCAGGTGGGAATGCGTCCAGCAAGCCTAAGCAGTCAAAGAGTCGTAATGGTACAGTATACCAGACATTCTCATTGATCGGTTATGATATAATGGTGCATGGATATGAATACATGAACGGAGGAGCATAAAATCGAATTAGCAGCGTGTAATGTACAAGGTGCTGACCTTCTGCTCCTACTTGTTATCCAGGCTGTATTACCTGCAAGGCTAAACGACTGAAGTGCGACGAGTCCAAACCAACCTGTCTTCAATGTGAACGGCGCAAGGTACAATGCGGAGGATACAAGAAGGATTTCAAGTGGCGACCCTTCGAAGAGACCAATGCAGCGAACAGGACTTCTGCAAAGGCGAGGAATGGTAAAGTTACATGTCTATTCTCTTATAACAAGTATCATCCTAACAATTAACCGCGCTATTTTTCTTTTCTGACAGTCACTTTGCCACCTCCACCCCCGACCACGTCGAACAAAAGTTCAACAGGGAATGTTTCACGTCCGATATCGTCTGCAAGGACTGCACCAAGTCAAGGGTCCCCTTTAAAATCAAGAGAAGGCCGCCGACTGCCGCAGCAGACCACCCCACCAAGGGTAGAGGAAGATAGCCAGTCAAATCTGGATGCATTGAGTGAGAAAACTCCCGAGTCCTCACTCGGAGAGCTTGAAATTCCCGGGTCAGCTCCATGGCTGTCGGATTTGTTCCCCTCTTCTGCAGACTCTGGCAACTCGTTTGGCGCAATGTGGACTTCTAGCCCATCCAAGTCAGATAGCTTCAGCTTCTCCGCCCTGCTAGCAGGAGATGGCGATGAAATTGAAGAAATCGTACGCCAGTCCGATCCAGGCTCCGACCAGTGGCTGTTATTTCCAGATTCTGGGCCATCTCCGTCAAGAACTGAAGCGCTCATGGCGTCCAGCATCCCTAGCGAACCAGATTTAGGAGCTGCAAGCCCCGAGATGCTGGTGTTACGCTTCAATAGAAACACTTGCGGTATATTGTCGATTAAGGATGGGATGCATGAGAACCCCTGGCGTACATTGATCTGGCCATTGGCCAAAGATACCCCGGCCCTGCGCCACGCTATCTTTTCAATGGTCGCATTCCATTCCAGCAAGGAAAACCCATCCCTCAGGGTCCACGGAGTGGATCATATGCGCAAAAGCATCGCGTACATGGTGCAAAATATCGAAAGCATGAGGACTGATGCGGCTTTGGCCACCAGTCTAGCGCTAGCATTTGCGGATACATGGGACCAGCATACTCGCTCCTGCATCCAGCATCTCCGGGGAGCCAAGGCATTGGTATCACAGGTCCTAGATCTGGCCGTACAGGGTAAAGTGCATGGGACTGATTTGGAGCGCGTTCGGTTTCTGTATAATACTTGGTTGTATATGGATGTGATCGCTCGTTTGACATCGCGAGATGGCTGCGAGGGGGCAGAAATGGACCTGTCCATATTTCAACTTCCAAACGATGTTGTACATGAGATTGATCCTCTGATGGGATGTGCTGCCACGCTCTTTCCGCTTATTAACCAGGTGGCTAGGCTAGTCCAACGGGTCCGAAAGAGTGATTCCAACTCCATCTCGCTGGTCTCCCAGGCCATTGAACTGAAAAGGCTTGTTGAGCAGTGGGAGCCTCCAAGATGGTTCGAACCGCCTGAAGACCCGACGTCAGAGGTGCAACATAGCATTCAAACAGCACATGCTTATCGCTGGGCCACCTTGTTGTATCTGCATCAAGCCGTCCCAGAGATGCCTTCAGAACCGACATCGGAACTGGCTAAGCGGGTATTGATCTTGCTTGCCACTGTGCCACCAAGCTCGCGGACAACTATAATTCAGATGTTTCCGCTTATTGCCGCAGGCTGCGAAGCAGAACAAGAAGATGACCGCGACTGGGTTCTGAATCGTTGGATGGCCATCCAATCTCGGTTGATGCTAGGTGGTATCGATCGGTGCCTCGAGGTTGTGCGGGAGGTCTGGACCCGTCGAGACTCATACAAGGTTGAGCAAGAGCGAAAGCACAAACGCAGCCGCAGCAGTACTGTGTATGATTCCTCGGAGACTTGGGGGAAAGGATGGAGTCGGGAGGAACGAACGATTCCCTCTGTCACATCTCGACAAGCTCCCAGACGGGGCTCTGCTGTGTCAAGCTTGGAAAATATCGAGCATGAAAAGACCGTCCGGGGACGATTGCATTGGGTAAACGTAATGGAGAAATGGGGCTGGGAAGGTAAGCAAGGGCTTTTTCTTCATTTGAATGCCAAAATGCTAACTTTTGATTCTTTACATAGTGTTCTTGGGATAGAGGTTGAATATGAGACGCCCAGTTAATATCGAGGGCGTAATGCAAGACGCTTTGCGGAGGGATTCTTGGTAGCACTGGGTTTCGATCTCGATGGCTCCTCCGGATCTTTTTTGATAGCAGGCTGGAGTTCTGAGCGCGATGCGGGTTCATTACCCGGTGGATTGCTCGGGTGGTCCTCCAGATACGACCGGAGAGAAGCCAAGTATGGCTCGAGTTCCCTAGTAATCGAGACAGTGGTCATGGTGCAAAAGGATATGCTTATCTGTTGCTTTCTGGATACTGTTTGTATGTGAATGTTGCTTTCTGGACTGCTTATATTACGATTCGATTGTGATAGTCGATCAGCGTGGCGTTCGGTTCGAGTGAAAGATTAAAAATGGATTGCTGCTTGGACTTGTTTGAAACGATGTTGAAGAAATGTCCTGGTCATAAGTCTCCCTCAGTAAATTATGGCGCTTTGGTGGGAGAAAGAAACTCGGATTGGCGCATGGGATATAAAAAGCAAAGGTTGTCGCAATGGCGCAATTCCACCGAAGTTCTTGTCGATTCCGAAAAAAACTGAAAGTGGTACGATATCTGCTTTCAATACTATGATGTATTGACTTTGCTACAGATGTCGAATTCGTCGAGTGGCACAAGTCTTTCAAATCTCAAAATCGCTTTTTTTTTTGGTATAATATTATGATCTTTCATCAAAGTGGACTATCCAAGTCATGCAGGGATGTATCGTTTTCGCAAATCCTCGGTCTGTAGTCGGTCAGTTTAGTTTTGATGAAGAAGGGAACGTTGGAGCGATGCCTTAAGTGGAGATGGAGAGGATAGTTGCTTGGGCTTGTCAAGCGATGAGAACGAGGTCGAGTTGAGTTGAATTGGTTGGGGCGATGGTCCGTGTGTTAAGAGTGAAGAGGAGAAAGAGGAGAAGGAGGGGAAGGCATTTTATATTGAGGCCTGATCGAATCGGAAGAATCGCTGGGGTTGTTCCGGCAGGAATACAGCAGGATTCACTGGTTGTACTCAAGTAGAATGGTTAGATGATGCGATGAGGTGGTGGGATTGTTGAGATGGATATTTTGTCTGAATATGTTGTTTTTATAGAGAGATACTTTATTGGGAATAGAAATAAGATAGTTTGGATCACGTTTACTTGTAACTGAGTGAAGTATACAAGTTGGGTATACAAGAGCCAGTGTACTTTTGTACTTGTGTATGGCGTGGTTTGGGTATTGTATGTAATACCATGGGTTACTTATATACGTATGTACACACGGAACCCGTACATGTATATCGATGTATTACTACCACATCTGGTATAAATACCAAATTAACATGGATTCTTGTAGGATTTACCAGAACGATACTCTTTGTTAATGCAATAATACTGCTAATTTAGTTAGTCCATAGCAAGAAGCGTTATAGTAACACCCTCAGTTATGCTCTGTACTCCGTACAGAGCACTAATAAGGACCGACTAACCAGACTCGGAAAAGAAACCCCAGATATCTAGATTTGGGACATTGATTGGATGCTGCGCTGGTGTTGGTTTCTCCTCACAGTATCAGTCAAGTTCTCCTCACGGTTCGGATATCTATAACTGTAGATATGGATTCGGTTACTTAGTCTGGACATTGGATGCGAATGTATGGATTCGTCGGATCGTTGTACAAGCAGTGAGGGGTGTATAAATGGTTTATGCTGGCTGCTGCTAGTGCTGATGTTTGTAGATCGATAGCTTTGCTTTAAGTTGTTTTATTTGAATTTGTATAGTTGACGCAATGACTACTCCATTTGTTTACCACGCCAGGGCACAGTCGACTTTTGAGCCGCCGCTCATTGCCAATGAGAATGCATTTCTTGGCGACTTAGCATCGAGGTCAGTCAGGTTTTCACTTCCAAACGATAACCATGGACCACGGCTATTCCGTATCGCGTACAAAAGTACTAACAAGTAACCACCATTTGCCTCGGCCAGCGAACAAGATGCCCCCGAAAAGCCCATCTCATGTGGCTTCTTCCGCTTAGAAAAGGGCACCCCACTGGTCTACGAATACACCTACGATGAGATGAAGATCATCCTGGAAGGCGAGGTTACGATCTCCGACGCGACGGGGCAGTCGGTGCAGGCTCGGGCGGGCGATGTGTTTTATTTTCCCAAGGGATCGAAGATAACTTTTGTGACTGAGGGGGGAGGGTTGGCATTTTATGTGGGTTTCTTTCTCTTTTCTATTTGATGTTGCTGTGGCTGACACTTGTGTAGACCGGACAACGTGCCAAGGGAGGTGCATGAACTTTCCAGACTCGGGGGATGTAATACATATGATTGAAGTTAATACCGCAATGATATCCGAAATTGGAGATCCATAGGTTCACAACCATGGTTCTGGAGCATGAATTTAATGTGTAGATCTATGTATCCAAGCAATACGTCATGGCAGGACCATGGATCATGAGCAGGCCATACCCGAATGGGTAATTTGATTGTTTTCATTCAAGGATCACGGATCTGAACCGAGTTTTGTGGGAGATCGCGGCTTCAATATAAAACGAAGCTGACACACATAATGATGTACAAAATGCAAAAGCAAACAGTTTAATATATTAGACGAGATCTAATACATCTAGCCTCGCTGCATCGGGCTACTCCGTATTCGTGCGGCATCCAGCTCTCCTCTGACCCGTCTATGACTGATGATCCCGTGTCTAAACAAAACTAGTGGTTGATGACTTGCAGTCATGCTCCATTTTTATTGCTGTCCAGCTCGATCGTGGCCCCGTGGGTGTCCCTCGAGGGTCCAATCAACGTGCACAGGTTCCTGAATCTGGGTCGATTAGCTTTTTGAGGCTTGTTTGAAGGGAAAAACAGGAGATTTGAAAACCTGTTTATTATTGTGCTTTTAATAGTCATTTTCAAAGCATTCTCTATTTAATATAATAATAAAAAGTTGCCCTGGCAACTGGTACAGTCGGACTGCGGCTCTATGTTGGCTCAAGCCTTGTTACCCGAACAGGAAGGCACGACTCAGCTGCGCCCGATTCAGCAGCCACACCTTCCCTCTTTCCTCGCCACGCTTTTCCCGCTGCCTCAGTAACTCTGGATTCGTCATATCTTCATCCTACCTCACTTTCAAATTTTCTTTTCTTTTTTTTTTTTTGGATTATTCAATGCTTTTTTTGTGTGCTCCTGAGTGTCCAATAATGCATTCTTATTCTGTTCAACGGCCCATCGCCGTGCGTGGCAGTTAACGACTGGCTCATCGGCACTTTTCTCGTTCTCCACCGTGACCACGAAAACAAGAACCGGTGATCTCTGTGCTGCTCGCGGTGAC